GGGGATAGCGCAGTCGTGCCCGCCTCGAAATGGAGCTGTAGAAACGAAGCTTGGCATCATATATCTGACAACACTCACGCATGGACTTTGTTTGTTTGTTAATGATTTGTTTCGACCCACCGCTTCTTCCGTTTGCGATATGATCAGTGCGTTGACACACGCGTAGCCCGCAAATAGCAGCAGGCATACGGCCAGTCTTTGCGTGCGTGTGAATGAGTGAGGCCGAGGGCAGCTGTACACAGACATCCACATGTGGAAATCTGCCAGGTAGTCACACAGCATGAGACGCATCATCTGCGGATGCAAGTGCAGACGTCATGAGGAAGACGAAGCGATTCCCTATGATCAGTGCGTTGACACACGCGTAGCCCGCAAATAGCAGCAGGCATACGGCCAGTCTTTGCGTGCGTGTGAATGAGTGAGGCCGAGGGCAGCTGTACACAGACATCCACATGTGGAAATCTGCCAGGTAGTCACACAGCATGAGACGCATCATCTGCGGATGCAAGTGCAGACGTCATGAGGAAGACGAAGCGATTCCTCGGTTTGAACAGGGGCCGATCCAAGCCCGTACCCGAGCTACTCCTATTCCACGAGTGCAAACGCGCAGCATTCTCTCCACGCGGCCGTCGCCTCTGCTCGCGGACAACCAACACTGGCCCGCAAAGAGCCGCGTTGGCGACTCCATGTTGGCCTGCCCCAGCTGCGGTCACACGAGATCGCCAAATGTTGCCGAGCATAGCATCAACGACACGACAGGAAGAAAAGCCTGACCTCAGAGACTTCCACAAGTTTCACGAATAAATGTGGCGAAGGTCCGGAGTTGTCATGCCAGATGCGGACCCCCCACACGGGACCCAGGCTCTCGGCTGCACTGTGACGTCATTGGAAGTGTTAAATTCATCTCATGGAATAGCGACTCCAAATGTTTGTCTTGTCTGAAAGGGCTACTTGAATATGCTTGGATGTCACCTGAGCACAAAGGTGTCTCGTGAGTTCCTCCTGAAAAGCGTGCATCCTGGGACGGATAGTTCTCTTGTCTGTGAGGTGCCGTCGCCGCCGTACAGTGCTACGTAAACCTGCCAAACGGGTGATTGGAACATTGAACGTCTACTCTCATAGAATCGGATAGAGACTTGTTGAAAGACGGCCTTACCTTTGCACTCAGTTTGTACGCAGAGCGGAGGCCGGTGTGGACGGTCACAGCATAGAGATGCGGTTCCCGTGGACAGTTGTCGTGAAGGTAGTGGACTCGGCGACTCTGCTCGGACACGATGTCTGCTTTCCTGCATCCCATCAACGCCGGCGCGTAAAGACACACGCACAGCAACAGGACAACCGGGACAGTCACATCGGAGGCCTCGCTGAAAGATGACAAATGAGACGCGAAATGGATATTTTGAATGCTCCAAACACACGGACTGACGTTTATATCATTTGACATACCGTGACGTGAAACGTATTCACAAGGAAGGACGAATCGGCCGAATCGGCGCTGACGTTGCGCAATTTCATTTTACGTACCCAATTTACTCAGTTTGTACGCAGAGCGGAGGCCGGTGTGGACGGTCACAGCATAGAGATGCGGTTCCCGTGGACAGTTGTCGTGAAGGTAGTGGACTCGGCGACTCTGCTCGGACACGATGTCTGCTTTCCTGCATCCCATCAACGCCGGCGCGTAAAGACACACGCACAGCAACAGGACAACCGGGACAGTCACATCGGCGGCCTCGCTGAAAGATGACAAATGTGACACGAAATGGATATTTTCAGCGCTCCAAACAAACGGACTGACGTTTATATCATTTGACATACCGTGACGTGAAACGTATTCACAAGGAAGGACGAATCGGCCGAATTGGCGCTGACGTTACGCAGTTTCATTTTACGTACCCAATTGCATTTTACGTACCCGATACCGTCAATTTACAAGGTCACCTGAGGAAGATGTCCAGGTCGGCTGCTTCATAGACGCTCCCGATCTGCTTCTGCACCACAGTCAGCGCCCTCAACAGGTGACAACTGCAACAGACACCAAATGGCGAGCGAGGCTGGCTCGAAACACGTTTGGGTGTGTCAACGCCAATACCTGCAGTTGACAGCACGAGTGCTGTCTGCCTGGTGCGTGCTGCAGCCCAGCGGCGTCCACGCCCCTTTTAAGTGGTCCAAGGACAAACATTGGCTGGCGACCACCGCCAGAGTGTAATTGATCCGGCTGCTCTGGTGCTTGCGTCTGATTGTTTTACCAAAGTCGCCATTGAATAACGCCAGGTAGCCGACCCCTGGAGCTAGAGGTGAATTCCGAATCAGTTGAATCCGCAGTCACTGGACAGCGACAACATTGACGGCTGGAAGAAAAACCCACTCTTGAGATAGGATGGTGGCAGGGTGATCCGAGTGGAATTGGTCTCCCAATGGTGAATCTTATGCAAGTGGTGCATGCCGGGAGACGGCTTGGCAAACATCCTGCCGTAAACGGAGGCTCACGAATCAACCGCCCCCCCCCCCAGATGCAAAACATGCCAATGCAACAAGGGCATACCTGAACAGCAGCGTGATGGGAAATGAGCGCTTAGGTGGCGGCGTGAAAGCCACACTCAGCTGGATGGCCTGATGTAAATGTTCGCGGGTTACGTTGAAGCTGTGGTAGTTGATGCGGTTTCGCAGGAGGACGTACGCGTGTGCGGCTTCCTGCTATGAGACACGCGGTCACGTCAGCAAAGACCACGCACAACTAGCATTAGTGTTTTACAAGAATCCGTTTGGGGAAAATGAGCTGAAATCATCTTTTTAGTTAAATCGAATCAAGCTTACGACAGCTCCAAACATCCCACACACTTTGTCTTGTCTTGGTCTCATCTCCACAGTGATTGGCCGAACAAGCGTTCGAACTGAGACTTTCCTCCTCGTGCTGCATTCATACAGAGTCAAGTCAACCACCGGTCCATTCATCTGCAAAATCCAATGAGAAGGTTGTATTTCTTCAAAGTCAGTCAGCTCACAGTCTATCGCTGCGCTCTGCGTACCCTCTCAGGATATGTGGCCCGGGTCCAAGGTGACCGCTTGAGTTCAGCGAGAAGGCCGAGGACACACTCTCCTCTGAGCGAACGGATCGGCGGCGCTGGCGTGTAAAATATCGCCGAATCACCGCTGATGACCGACACTGCTGAGTCCCACCGTGCAATGAAGAGAGATATGAAGCTGCTCCTGACCACGTGCTCTTGGCTTTTCTCCAACAAGGTGTGCTTCTAAGAAAACAATAGAAAAAAAAACCACACTCGACAACCAGAAGGGAAATGGAGTTGCCAATGTTCAAGCGGGACTTCTCACCAGGATCAGGTCAGAAGCAGTCTGTAGAATAGTTTCCACAAGTTGCTCCAGCTGCTGGCTTCGACTTGTTTGCAAATCGTCATCTGTGAGGCCCTTTACTGGGTTTAATCCAACCCGCGGATGGGGCTCCACCTCGCGCGTCACATCTGTGACGTCATGAGCGGTGACGGCGGCCTCCAGGCTGCACGATAACACCGCGACCAGGGTGCTAAGCGTCCTCTGGTCCGGTTGGTACCGCTTGGGTGCACTGGGTCGAGAAAGCTCCGCCGAGATGGCCTTCACGTGAGTAACCACTTGTCGGACGCTGGCTAAAGTCACCTAAGAAACGTATTACTGCGTGTCAAGGGCTGTTCCAGCCGACATCTCTTCGTGTTTCTGTGAGGGAAACTGCAACTTGCCTGTCTTGACACTTGGGAAAGATCTCGGAGAATGCCAATGTTGTCTACCATTGAGTCCTGGCATCGCATAACATGTTAGAATGCGTGAAACCACAGAGAACAATGCCATCACCCAGTTCACAGTTGAAACATTTCTCTGCGGTAATAAAATGCATGCTTTTGTGATCTTAACAAAAATACAAAATGGATCTCTGCTAAACGTTGCCAAGGGCTGATACGTGGTCCAAGGAAGAAGCCGTCATGACTTGGTTTTGTTTTGGGTTGCCAGGTGGAGGGGGGTGGGGGGGGGGGTTCTTGTCTTTTCATGACAAGCAGTTTTCCCGTTAACTGTATATTGATCTTTGCCTTTTGCAAGCGTTTTTGGTTTGTCTCCTTTTCCTGGTTAGTGTAACCAGCGTCATTGGTGGTGCTTTGTCGGACATGGTACATGAACCGGCGAGTAGCCCGTGAACAACAAACGCAGCATTCGGCAGATTTTTTTCACTTTTGGGTGGAGGTTGAAATCCACCGGGTGGCATTCTAGTTACCGTATAGAAGAACATTTGAGCATTGCTTATACAACCAATCGCTGCTGACCTAGGTTAGTTCGATGCACACCAGGCCAACACGAGGAAGTAAAAATTCTGTGTCCGCCACCTCCTTTTTTATTTTTATTTTTTAAACTTTTGTTAATGGAGTATGTGCGTTGTGTTGTGTGTGTGCACCTGGTCAGGACTTTCCAGCTTGCACAAAGCGGAGATGAGCACGTTCCGCAGATGACTCTGAGTGCGGTGGTCCGCCTGGCTGTCCAAGCTGAGCCTATTGAGGATGCCCGACAACAGACTGACATAGTTGCAAATCTCCGTACTGTCCCCAAGCACAATCAATGCGGAGAGGTTCTTCAACCCTGATTGGGACCTGCTCACAGAAAGGGAAAAAAAAAACCAAAAAATGTTGAGCAAAGATTGAAATGACAACAAATGTTGAACAGAGTCGTTCTTACAAAACCACATCAGGATTGGGGAAGGAAACATCTCTGAAGAAGCTGGGACGGACTTGGACAGTTACAGGGCAAACTTGAGTGGAGGATCCGTACACGCTGCTTCTGATTTTGGTGTATACGGTTACTAAAAAGATAAAAGTCATGAACCGGTCGAGCCCATGCGTGATCCTGACGAGTCACATGTGGTCCTTGATCGACTTGATTACAACTGTTACCTTTATAGTCATTGGTGGGGTGTCCAGATGGCAGGCTGAAATAGTACTGGAAGTTTCTCCCCTGGTACAACATCCTGGGAGGTTCGCTACCAACGCTGAAGCTGTACTCGTACAGTAAGTCCTTCAAAAGACATGCGCGCAAACACACAGAACTGTTGGGGCAAACTATTGTGGCATCACTCAGGGACGTGTAGTGGAAGAAAAAAAACGAGAGCCTGGCGATAGGAGTGACCCCTAAGCTATTTGTACTGTGACTGTCGAACATTTTTTTTTTACCTCTCTGCCTGAGGTGCAGAAGATGCCAAAGTGTGTATACAACTCCAGCCCTTTACTTGGTTGGACTTGGCATGTCATTCCTTTAGGAATGGGCTTTGTTCTCAAGAATAATTGCGTGCGTCCCAAAATACGACTTGGACATTCTATGGTTTGAAAAAAAAAATACAAATACGGTACACTGTGGTCAGCATTCAGTTATTTCAGAAAGAAAAAAAAAAACCTGTGAAGGACTCACTTGCGATGGCCTCCAGCATGTACATGTGGCCCGGCTTTAAGCTAAAAGGTCTGAAGCTGAGCAACGCAGACGAAAGTCCTGCAAAAGGAGTGGCAGCGTTGTGATGAGCGATGACCGAGGCAACGAGAGGACATTTTCTGTGTGTCGCATACCCGTGTAGGTGTAGGACGCAAAGGATCTCGCGTCTATTGGTTCTCGAGGGAGGTCGATCAAGGTCTGCTTCCAAATGCCCTGCCTGGGCCGGGACTCCACCAGATTACTTCCCTCGGAGTCGTGTGGCACCGGGTGGAACGACGTGTCGTCTCCCGGATTCTGCGTCAGAACATCCGTACCTAAAAGCGGGGCGGGTGGACAAGTCGAGGTATTGGTTGTCATTGTGAGAAAAGTATTCTTTCAAGAGTCTGTTGATTATCGTGGTTGTGGTTTGCACCGGCGCCGAACTGCAACGCAGCATCGTGAGTGATGCCGATGAGAGTTTTTCGCAGCGGCCAAAACATTCTACTGCACATTGTGTACCTCTCGGTCTCCCAGCTGAGATTCCCGGCTCTCCCTCCTCCGCGATTTGCCAGGGAATGCGGGATTCTGCACAAGAGCAGAGACTTCGACTCACATCGGCGAGACTTGACAAATGGCGGCGTGCACGAAGAGCACAGCTAGATACTCGACCTCGTCCATCTGTCACATCAGCACTATCCCAGTCTGCCGAGGAGTCGTAGTCAATGGGAAGTTGACTTCCAACTTCTCTCTGATCCAAACGCACGCGACCATTCTCAGCGGCAGTGGAGTTCAGGGACTCCAAAAGGCCACGTTCCCCTCTGGCAACGTAAGAGGGCTCCTCTCCTAGCCGTGAAGAGCATTCGAAAAGAGCAGGATCTGGTCAATAATTCGGATAAAAATCACCACATCATTGCGAACTAGGGCCTTGCTTTTCATTTGGCACAGTAACATGAAGCACTCGACAAAATGCCTCTCTGAGTCCAGTGAATGAATGAATGAATGGAAAAAAAATAGATCTCCATCTTTGAAATCAGTGTTGCGTTCTATTTTACATACCGGCGATGGCCTCCGTAGGAATGAACGCATCGAACGGATAAGCAGGTTGGGAAGAATTTGGAGGATGTGGATGAAGACGTGAGGAGGGCATCGATGTGGTTTCTTTGATGGCGGATGGGGCACTGAGGTCCACCGTGTAACAAAATGGGACTAGAAAAGAAGCGGAAATGGTATGAATTTCACTGAGGACTGCTCGTCCTGCTCATGGCTGATCTGAACTCTGTCCCAGCGGCACATATCAAGAGAAACAACCATTCACATTTGCGCCATCGACGTGTGGTTTCGTGACAGATGCCGGCTGTGCCCACGTCAGGTGAATGAATACACCACCGCGCACCCACGAGAGCCAAGAAGGGGAAAGCACCCCGAATCCGGACACGCTTGATTTACCTTCGTCCGCAGATTTGGAGGAAGCGTTCACCAAGTGCAAAGTCCAGGTGTACGCGATGCGGTTTGGGGGAACCTCACAGTCTTCACACACGGCTTGGACTGAGATAGACTGATCCCAGTTTACTTGGTCTCCTTCACATTGCAGACATGATACTGCGAGACGCCTGAATTGGAGACAGTCACACAATAGATGGAGCTGGTAAAATCTTAACTGGCCACTAGAATCAACTAAAGCAACTGTTTTTTTTTTTTAGGGTGCTTATTTATTTTTCTTATTTGTCCATTTCTGCCTGTCGTGTGTGCAAACTGGTCAAAACTTGTCCGGTACCCGACGACGCTCGGCGTTAAGGTGACAAAAGCTTCCGTCGAAGCAGACAGCGCTCCGCTGTGGACGCTGAGAGTGAACTGGAACTGGTCAAAACGTGGCTGGAGGGAGCTGGTGGGAAAGGTGAGCACAGCAGAGCCGGTAGCGACGTGGCGCTTGAAGCAGGAACTCTTGATGGAGCTGACCGGTTGGCACATCCATTTGACGCTGGAAATAAAAAATTCGCTGGGATAGAAGCCAAGGCCTGCTTTGAATTCCGGTTGAGCGCAAAGGGCTGCAGCGTTCCTCCACCTCAACGGACGCGTCGGGAAGTCGGGATCGTAGGAACGCCGCCCATCCAGTGTTAGCGCGGTCATGTTCGCGTGGTTAATGAAGATGTTGGTGCCGCCCTGGATGGAAGCCACGGGAGGGCTGGGAATCATTTCAAGTCTCACGCTGTAGTTACTGTACACCACGTTGCCAACGACCTCGACCTGCGGAAGTGCAGTCGGAAAGTCAACCCGTCGCACGCAAACATGGCACAAAATAAAGATAAATGCCACAGATTTGTTCTCTCCTGGAATTATATTTGAAGAACTGGAATGTATGACAGCGATTTCCCACACAACCACTACAAGGTTGAAGCAGCACAAGTCAACATCGGACTGGACAAATGTTTGGTTGAACAAGCGAAAGCCAATGCCGGTATTTTATATTCCCAAAAGAAGTTCCTGGATGCAAAGAGAATGGCTGCAACGCCATCGCCGCGTTGCTTCCTGCGACTTACCCTGGCCACGGCGGTGTAGGTGTCATGGTGCAGGAGATGTCCCGGCAGTACGAGGAGCTGCTTGTGAGCATCCGGAACCGGCAAAACGTGGCCTGCAGAGTCAGACAGTGTCCACGTGTAACGGAGGCCCCTCGACGCGTCGCATTCCATGTCCCCCTCGTAGGACACGCCCAGGCGGATGATGTTGTGTCTTCGCACCTGAATGAAGAAACATCTCCGTCAAAAGTACTGGCGCAATCAGACCAGTGAACGGCCTTACCTGGAGTTTGAGAGGGCCCATGTTCTTGACGGGCGGAGGCCGACATGGACGGTCCAAGACAAAGATGACGCTGTTGAGGGAGCCGCGACTGACCCGGTTGGACACGGTCACTTCCATCAGGAACTCTCCAGTGCTACAACCACATACATGTCAGCGCGCCCTGCGCATGTGATGCGCAATGTCAGACCTACAGCATCCACGTTTGAATCGAAACCTTTCCTCACCTGAGAAACGCGTGCCTTTCAACGCTTTGTCCCATCTTTGTCGTCCCGTCGCCGAAGCTCCACAGGAATGTGACGTCGGTGCCGGAATCCACTCTGCAACTCACTGTGGTCGTCTGGTTCCGAAGGACGGAGGCCCGGTGGACCAACTTGTTGAGCTTCACAGGCCTTTGGATGAGGATGGACAACGCTCCGGACGTGAGGGAGGTGCGACCGTCAGACAGCGCCACCGTGACCTTGTACCTCCAGAAGAAAAACACCAATTCAGGCATAGTTGGGGCAAATAGAATGTCATTTTTTTGGCGATTAGATATAGATTGAACGGGATTTGCAAACCATTGCTTGCTGTTTTTACTTCGGCTTCACACAAGTTCCCAACTTCATTGGAATTGGGTTTCTTTCCAAGCGTAGCAAATGTAGTCCCATATGAGTGCAGCGATTTGATGTTTGATGGGCAACATACCTTCCAGGAGTGTCGTATCTTTTGGTGACGTTCCTGCTGCCGGTTCTTGCCGTTGTGGCGTCACCAAAATTCCAGAAAATGTCCAGCGGCTCGGGCACATCCGTCACAGCCGAAAAGGCCACATCCGTAGTCGTGGGGTAGGTTTGACGTGCCGTATAAACGCTGACACCTGAAAAGGCAATCGGATTTCACACGCAGGCAGCAACAGAGCATGAAGTGCAAACACCTGCAGGAATATTTTGGGTTTTTTTGTGATGCGTAAGAGTTGGAGTCGAACGGGTGTCACTGGGTGTCTCCTTACTTCGGTCAATCATGTTGGCAGCGGTGACATTGGCTGGAGACGGCACAACCACCTACAAGTAAACAAATCAACATTTCGATGTTATGTCGTTCTTCTGCATGAAGGGGCTCTCTGTGTTTTTAGTCAGATCTCATTTTTGATCAGTGTTTTTTTTTTCCCTCACTTAGAGTTTGCAATGATTTAAAAATCGGCAGTGACGCCGCGGGGGTGCGAGTGTGAAGTGTGGCCACATTCATATCTTGCTGGCAGCTTCAAAACTGCAAACTCTACCCGCTATAACTGTTTCTGAAATGAATGCTTGAGTTTTTGATCACATTCTACAGGAAATCCCGCCTTGTCGTTTCCTCTTTTGGCACACAATCTAAGGACATCCAAGAGCCCAGGAAAAAAGAAATTGTGCCTTTACAAAAAGAACAGTGCTCAGTTTTGACAGACAATCCGCTCACTCTTGCGTCAAAAAGTGAGCATCAGTCTTATTTTGGTCAAGTCTGAATTTTTGTGAAGTTGTGCCCGTGTACTTCATGATCCAAAAGTGACGTCAGATAAAATGCACGTCAGCCATTGGGTCAACGCCTCGCCGTTGCTCGCAATCATTTCGTCTGCTGTGCACAGTGACCCCGCAAGGCTTTTGTTTTAGACCAAAAATGACACAATGAGTTCAAAGAAGCGGAATCTTCGCACAATGTCCATTACCTGGAGTACATGGATATGGCTGTGCTATTTTGCAAGAAAACATCACGCTTCCAAATTCTTCCTCAGAAAGAAACATTCATTCAAATAAGCAAACAAAAAAGACCCCAGCACACGTGCATTCACACACGCATCGCCGCTTGAATAGCGAAGCGTACGCTCGCATACCAGGCTGCCATTCAGGGCCTCACAAGTCCTCTCGACCCCCACCTCCTTGTCTCCCTCCCTGTGATGAAACGACCAGCACAACCGCGCTGCCGGCCCGCCAGCCGCGTACGCCCGCAGCGTGATGAGATCCCCCGCATAGACAGCCTGCGCGGTCCCATTTTGGGAGCTTGTGTGCAGGAGGGGGGTTCCGTGAAGCAAAAAGATCTCCGACGGCGCCGCCGCGTCGAGGCTCAGGGGGCAGAAATGCTCTGAAATCGGGTTGAAGACCGTCAACTCTAAAAATAATAGGACAAAAAAAGGAGGTTCCAAAAAGAAGCTATCTGACGCAACATTTGTTTGTTAGGTTCCCCCCACCCCCGCCCCCTCCCATCAGACATACTGATTTCATGCTCGGCTGACCCTTCCCAAATCCATTGACATGAAACTGCAAAGGAGCCATCATCTGACACGTTGACCTGCTGTGAACTTTGACACGCTGAGGTCCCACAGAGGAACTCCACAGTGATGTCATTGGGTCCACCCAGTTCCACCATTACTGAAAACACACACACACACACACACACACACACACACACACACACACACACAAAACATCAACGTTAAAAGAAAAATAACAGCAAGACATCAAATGCATTATGCATGCACAAGTAAATTCCATTTGTGTTGTTGTTGATTCAGCCAGTCCCATCAATCGACAGATCTGCCCCCCCCCCTTCCCAGGGCCAATACGAAACCAATTATTAATAGTCAAGGAGGCCGATTGTGAACATTTGAATCCAATAGTCAAATGTGGTCAATGCGAAAAAAAATTGCTGGCAAAATTTTGAACAGCACAAACTCCCAATACTTGACTCTTCAGATTTTCAACATGTTCAAGTTTTGTTTTCGATCTTGGAAAATAGACATCTTTGTATCAAAGTTGTCAAAATACAGAATATCGGGAACGATAATCGTCCCAGCCCAAAATCAGTCCATCACTGGTACTTTTATATTTTAATGCATCGTAGTTTTGTTTGCACAATCCTGGTTAATATTAAGCTTCACCTCTTTTTGCTTTGACTACAATGTGTCAGCCTTTTTTTTTCAACAACTAAATGGTGTCTGTCTAACATGAAAACACCTCCAAAAATCTCAGCCATTGAGTTTGAATCCTCTTCATTTTAAATAGCTTCTCACCTGTGACCTGGTCAAGGCATCCCGCCAATTTCCCGCAAACTTCCAGAACAAAAGTCGTCACGGCATGCAATTTCTTCAGAGGGGTCGACACATTTCCGTGGCGCAAAAATGGCCCTTCTGTCCTGTAAGGTGCGAAATTTCTCGCCCTGCTCCCAAGAGGAGGTTTCGGGACTCTAAGGAGAGATCATCCAAAGGAGTTAAACGCTGAAATAACGAGAAAGAAATCCAAGATTAAAAAGAAAGAATCAATCCCCACCTCTGTCCTCCCTGTTCTCCTCTGACCTCCTGTGAACCTCCATTAGAGGAAGTGTTGAAACATGCAGACACTCTCACGCCTTGTAACGCATGTCCACAGTAACACCATTGTGTTGTTAATGCAGCAACTATGAACCTTATGAAAATTAAAATAAGAATAAGCGTGAATTGGACAGTGACCGTTTCAGGGTCTCAAGTAGGATTTCAAACAGGGGTGGGGAACCCTATGGCATGTGTCATCGATGGCTCTTTGAACACAAAGAAAAAGTCACGGGACTAAATTGAGCACAGTCGAGCTCATTGGAAGCAATGATAGAAATGGTTTCCATAAATTTTGCATGCGAGCCTAAAGAAATACTCAAAGAGGAAAGACGTTCCCCAGCCCTGGTTTATAACGAATGACTACACAAAACATGATTTGAAATCCAAGTTTATATTTGCCCCTATATATCCTGTAACGCAGAACGTCGGGGGGAGGTGGGAGGGGGTTGCCTGTTTTTAAAGAGTATGACAACAAAAAAATCTTGAACCTTTCAACTTGTTCTCTCACCCCTCATCTAGGCAAATGCCACCGCAGGATTTCGGGTCAAGGTCATCGCGAACTCTGCTGACGGGATGAAGCGGGCTGCTGCTGTCGACGCACCCCGAGAACCGCCGTGAAGGTTCCCCCGGGGAGCTTGCCGTTGCCGACAAGCAGAGAAGGAGAGCGCCGGTCAAAGCGTCCATGGTATGAACGGATGAGAGCCAAACACTCGTCGGTGTGGAAGGATGGGGTGGAAAAGAAGAGGGACATGCAGGTGCCCGGACCTTCAAGTGTGACTGTATGCAGGTGAGGAGAGAGACGGCTGTGTGTGAAGAGGGGGAGGAAGGTGTCACACCCCGCCTCCCTCTCAAACGCAATCTCTTGGGGGACAATAACATCGTACGAGTGGAGACGACGGTCACTTTTGAAGTCTGAGTTTCTGCTTACACTTTCTAGTTTCTCCATCTAACATCTAATTTAGTACTGTATCGACTTCATTCAAACCTTTGTTCGTTGACTGTCTATGTAATTAAGAAAAGTATGTACCTCCATATACCTTTCACAGTAACCGTGTTTAATAGAAGTCACTTATTTCACAGAAATAATGTATCTTGTATACCATGATCATGCCTACACACATTCATGTGTACTTTTAGCCGGACCTCTTTTCAATTTGATCTTGTCACCCCACGTCAGTTTTACTGTCTATAATGTAAATTCGCACGCACGAGGATAAACTACATGTTAATAATCCTTAAATTTAAGAACACGTTCGGTGATTCAACTGAGAACTCGATCAATGCAATTCGCTCACGCTGTAGTTTACAGTCATGCAAAACACGACTTGGCCATCGGCGCGTTTATTTCAAGTCAACGGGTTGAAAAATAACAACCAAAACATAAACGTCTTCATGTGTCATTTGCCAGCAAGCCATTTGCGAAAACGCAGTGAAATACAGAAATATTGAGCTTGTCGTCGGTGTCGTCTGGATAACTCTCCCGGTCCACCTTAAAAATATATTTTCCGGTTTCCCGGACGTCCCCTTTAAGAGACGAGACCGTTTCTCCTGATGACCGGCAGAGGGCGCAGTAAGACTGCATCATCATCTTGTCGAGATGCGCGTGAACCGACGAGCCTTGGGGATCAAACCGTGTTCTCGCTTCTTTTTTTCATAAGGAATATGCGCATCATTGCGTGAATTCGTTTTATATTAATAATTAGAGTGCCTCACAGCACGGACGCGGGACTATGGCGCATGACTTCCATTTATTTTATACACCGATGAAAAAAGAAAAATCCTCGCGTTTGTTTTCTTTTCGAATAAAAAAAACAAAAAGGCACGTAGATGTTTTTCGGCTACAATTATGAGTCGTGTAAAAATAGTTGTAAAAAAAAATAAACAGCACACAATTAAATATCGTCGGGAAATTCCCAGCCCTTCTAAATCCAAAGTCCGAGGGATTTGACGGATCACCCCATTAAAATGTACATCTACACGCGCACACCTCGACTAAACTGTATTTTAGGCGTGTATGTGCGTCAAAGCCCCGCGGGTCTTTTTTAAACCTTTTAAATGTGTTGGATTGATGAATGAGGGTGTCAGCGAAATATTTAAAAAGTGGTGGGAAATGTGAGCGAAAATCAATGCTGTCTTTTCGGTCGAGCGGGGTGGGGAAAAGGAAAAATTATCACTGTTCTTTATTTTGCCTCTTTGTTCTTAAAATAATATAGATATTTTTAGCAAGTCGGTTTCTACGTAATGGGCTAAATAGGTTTTAAAAATCGGTGAACTTCATGTTATTCACAGCCAAATTTAAGTTGAAATGCAATTTTTTCAAGACACCTTTCGCGTATTTGAATTTACTTTGTATTGATTGGTAGCCTATTATACGCTCTAAAATAGCCATTGGACTCATTTAATTGACTTCAAGAATTAAGAAAATGTAAAGATAATAAAAACCTGTCCCAAAATGTTTCTCTTGCAGAAAATGATAACTAGGCTATAGAACAAATCGATTTGCTTTCATATTCATGGTGGTGTCTTCCACAAGGCCTAGCCCTTACCTCACTCTGGTGATGGACTGGTTTTTCGCACTCACATTCGATTTCAAGTATTCCATTTAACCTTGCATGTTTTGGGAATTTTTAGGATTCTGTAAAGTAAATCTGATTCCACTCGAGTAGGCCGACATGCCCGAAAGTGACCCTGAACACCTGCATGTTAATTTTAGCCGACTAATTTCAATACTGTGATCCCGAAAAATGGAATCGAGGCAAGTGTTGAGGCTTGTTTGTTGAAGACTCGAATCCGAAAGCACTTGGGTTTTGGAGACGCCACACCTCAAATTTACAACTGAGTGAGCCTTTTGGCTTCAAGGTGAAACGTCTTCAGCAAACAAGAAAAGTCCAGTTGCCTCCAATCAAGATTTGCGGATTACCCGGACAAATGCAAATCTTTAAAGACAGCAATAAAAATAAATAAAATTTTTAAAAAACGAGACTGAGTGGCCTCCTTATAACAGAGATTTAATCACAGCATAACTCACAATTGCCATCAGTGCTGATGAAGAATTTAAATATTGAATTTATGTGAAGAAGAAAAGCGAGAGATGGCAGATTTTTTTAAAAAATATATACTGTAAAATGTGCGTGGAAAATGTAGTTTATCTGACGCTTTATTCAAAAGAAAAATCTTGAAAATGACTGATCGCAACGATTCCCGTCTGTGTAAATATTGTTTGGGGAACCTGCATTTGTTCAACTGTTTTATGATCCTAATTAGGCGGAAAAACGAATTGGCTACGTGAATGATTCCCGATCGAGGCATCGTCCCCCATTTCCATCATGAGCAAACTCTCCCTGGAAGAGCACAACGCGCACTTGAAAGAAACCTGGCTCCGGCGAGGTCACGTATGCGCCGCTCCGACATGATGATCTATTGTCAAAGTGTCAAACAACACCTGATTCTTCCCCTTGCTGTGCCAGAGGCTTCACAAGGGGAATTTCGCTTGAAACATTTATTATTCGATTGTTTTAAGATTTATTATTCGAGATTCCCTTCAACCATTTCAACGTGTAGTTTAGATGCTGATTCTTATTGTTAATCATGAGCCTCTTGTGACATTAAACATGCTTATTCAAAAGCCCTTTTCCCCCCGGGGGTCGGGGTGGGTGGGGGGCTGTTTGCACTCAGATTACACCCCAAACAAACCACAATCACTTTATTAATGAAGACCCGTAGTTAAAAAAAAAAGTCGAACAAAGAAGCAAGCAAAATGGTTTTTAAAGTAATGATGCATTATAAGCTGTTGTTCAAGAAAGCTTTCCAAAGAGATACATTGAATCGTAGAAAACATGTGCAAGACACTTCCCCTTCCTTCCCTACAGTGCCTAAATAAAGCCTTAGCTCCAAGGAGAAACCTCTTTGCTTTTCCCTTTGGCCCACATCCTGAATACTGAAGTGGGTGAAAGAAGTCGGCTGCAGGAACCTTATCGGGCACAAGCCCCCTACTCCTCCCCTGCCTCCCATCACCTCAAAGAATGCGTCCCATACACTTGAATTAAAAAAAAAAAGAATAAAGGACACTCTTCTGCACAATTTTGGGTTCTGCGGTCCGTGCCCCGGAGCAGGCTGACTTTTGACACGGGGCCCTCACTGCAGCGCGGTGAGAAAATGTGAGCTGCTAATCAATGATGTGCAAGATCAGGCCTGACTGCCACGTATTGGGCGCTTTAAAAGTTAACTTTACGTCAACTTGCCACAGCGACCATGCACTTGCATGAAATAATCTCCAAAACTGTATCAATGCATCAGCAGAAGAGCTGTTACATCAGAATTGGGATTTAGTCATCATCTTTGCAAATTCTTTTCTATCTCGTGATAGACTGAAGATTATTATACACGCACACAACATCCTGATTCAAATATAATAAGCGTTTAAAAAATTGCCAAGAAATGGTATGGCTTTATTGACACCCCCGCGCCCCCCCCCCAAAAAAAGTGAACTATATTTGCCCCCGAACCTCACTTGTAAATAATACACAATTACATGTCAATAAGTCTAAGCCGTATTACACAGAGGTGTTACTGCCTGGCTGCTTGGAGGCTTTTTTTTTTTTTTTTTGCCCACACCCTCAGCCTGTTCCTAACTCCCTGGTATGAGGAGGGTGAAAGGTCACCGCCGCTTGTGGCCGTGTTCAAATCCCTCTATAGAGCCTCATGCTCTCAAGTGACCTGTCATCTCACAAGAGATTTTTGTTTGCAGGCCACGGAACTGATCAAATCTGACAAACATCAGCAATCTTTAATTAGAGAGAATTTTGCGCCCCCCCCCAAAAAAAAATATATTTTGTGTTACTTTGGAAATGAACTCGTTGAATTTGAAACTGTTGCATCTTGACTGCATTTTAATCTTCAGCGTTTATTTTGCTTTGCTTTTGACTAAGAACGTGCTTGGTAGAGGTGGTTGTGAATTCTGTGAATATATCAATATTATAATATGAGTAATAATTCGCCCGAATCCGGAATAAAATGTGTGCTCGTTCTACACTCGCTAATGAGTCACGTGCGAATGTGGGATTATGCGTCGATCCCTTCTTCTTGACGTCGACAACAGATGTTTTGACTCGTGTGCTTGAATAGTCCAAATATAGACCATGTGTAGTTTTTTATATCGTTATTTTTCTTAGATTTTCAAATGACTAAAGGCAATACTTTTTTCCGATCGTCTTTTTGACGGTGTAAAATCTTCCTTCTGAATGGCCTTCAAGCTGTCCCTTTGTTTTGCATTCGGATTTCATTTCTGCAAACTGAAGAACGTCGACCCTGAATGCGTTTAATTGTGGTGTAGAGCAGCGTCTAAATTCTTCTCGTTAAGACTGTTGAATAATTCATCGGCTCCGCTCGGAGTTTCGACCCATTGAACGACGGCAGACTCGCATTGTAATTGCCATTTAAACGCATCGCTTGGAAGATGACGGTGTCAAGGAAGACCGCAAAATTTGCCGTTCTGGCTCGTTTCACGCAACGTGGGCAAGTGGCACAATCTGCCTTCCGCCGTCTCCGGTGTACTTTTGGCGGCGTGCAAAGCCCCAACAAACGCAGCCGAGCTCCGAGCTCTCCGAGCTGCTTTTCCCCCTTCGTCTCCCGGGCGAGCTGCCCCCGAGACCCCGCGTCTCTCTCGCTTGGGTCTTTTCAGCCCTTTAACCCCAAAGCATTTCAATGAAGCTCGAGGAGCACGAGTCTATTCATAAGATGGTGCTTAGAGGCCACTTCAATAATTACGATAATATATGCATGTTGACATATGCGGCTATTTTTCCCCCCTAGCAAAGCACATCCAGCGCTGAGGCTTTTTAGCGATGCATGGATTGATTGATTTTTTTTACGTGAGCGTCCTAATCGCACGGCGCAGCCACCGCGCAGTCCCCTCTGCATCCTGCTCCGCGTCGAGGGGGGAAGCCGGGTAGAAAGGCCAGCGAGACGCCGCCGTTCCTTCGCCGATCCAACCCCGATCGCGCTAAATAGTGCACATTTGACTTAACTGACACTAAATCAACTTTGCAAGCGGCAACATAAAACCGGCGCGTTGCTCTACGATTGGATTGTCTTTGCAATAATTGCGTCCATTATAAACTTTGAAAACTGCGCCGATAAATCTTTGAAAACACTCGCGGCATACAATGTCGATTTGTTGCAGATAAGGCCAACTGCGAAAGACACAATGGTTAACAAATGCAAATGCCGATTAGCGTGTGAGTTTCTTTTTTCTTCTCCCTGTCTCTCTCTCTTCAGGCTGCACGCAGAAGAAGCACATATCAGCACGCAAAAGACCCTCGTGTGCCTGCATCGCGCCACCGTTTGCCCAAACATGATGAGTGTGTGTGATCCAGTCTGCTGGCTCCCAATCCGCACTGGAATTTAGCCGCTTGACTCTGCTTTTGCATTCGGGCCCCTCCGCGCAGGCCCCACGCAGCGGCTTGACTTACTTGGGTCGGCCAGCCGCGGTTGCCTGGTGGGGATCTGGCTTTGGAGCACACCGCAGAGCGAGCGCCCGCGCACGGCATGGGAAAAGCAAGTCCCCTCAAACTTTTTCACTCACTTTTTGGCTGAGGGTTGCACCTATCGACATAGGGAACACTTGGGCTTACATTGTGCTGTTTCAGTGTTCCTTTTATTTTATTGACGTGACTGTGTGTGCGTGTGTGTGTGTGTGTGTGTGTGTGTGTGTGTGTGTGTGTGTGTGTGTGTCTCCCCGCTGCTTTTCATTTGAAATCAATTAGGATAGTCTCCAGCACATCCAGCTAGCATTCAGCGTCATGAAATTGGTGGGATGGTTGCTATTTAGGTGGTTCTCAGAAAGTATGTTCCAGGGATGTGAAACGAGAGCCCAAAAATGAACTTGTTCAAAACCAGGCAAAAAAAATGACAAAAATCAAATATTCATGCATGCAGTGTGCTACGAATAAATAATAATGTATTGATCTATTTTTGTGAATGTATATTACCATAATAAACGGACACCACCCTTGACACGTAGCTTCGCGTTGTCATAAAATAACATTTAAAAAAAAAGGAGCTTAAAAAAATGTCAATATTGTATTTTGCATGCAATCCTTTAAACTTGTGCTTCAACTTAATAAAGTTCTTCAGGTGGAAATGGACAACACGTTACAGAGGTTGGTTGCACCTTGTGGACACATAGAAGAAAACGCTCAGTTGCGTGTAGTGGATGTTTAATACTTAAAAAAACGGGAAAGGAAAGTGCATTAGAAATCAACTGTTCAAGTTTCCATTTTGAGTGCAGTTGTCCCACATACAAATGTATATCTGCATAAAACAAAAACAACAACCCCCCCCCGCAAAAAAAAGACCGGAAAAGTCACACAATAAATATTCCATTTCACACCCAGTGACTTCAAACTCCGTGTCAAAAAATATGATCTCAAGTAACGTGTCAAAAAATGTCACCGATTGAGGAACGTGACGATGCTGACGAGCATTATCATTCGTCAATATTGTTTACAATGATAGCGGCAGTGTCACTGAGCTCAAACACCATGACCACTGTCTACTCCATGCATCGTGCATTGTGGGCCCTACGCGAGAAATCTAGTGTGTGTGTGCGCGTGTGTGTGTGTGTGTGTGTGTGCGCGCGCGCGCGCGCAAGCCCTCTTCTTCCTGTGTTGTGCAGCCTATGCTTTTGACATGCGGCTTAAAGGTTGAAAGCTTTGCTCTTGGAACATAGCAACCCGCCACCACCCCCTGTCTCGACTGTGTGCAACCTCACCCGAACCCCACTCCACCCTTTTCCTGCATTTTTTTTTTTCCGTAGGCCTACTCGCGTAGCACCTCGGGGGCAAATCTTTTTTTTCAAATAGCCAGTTTCCAGGCTGGAAATAGGGCTGGACGTTTTGAATTGTCACTCACGAGAAGGCCCACGGTGAGCAGGGGCTTCACATGTACTGCTTGCACGCTTTAATCACGCAGCTTAACGTTTGCCAGATGTCAATTTAAAGCAGTTTTAAACAATCATCATTAAAATACAATCATCTGAATGAGAGCCATCTTTTGCTGAGTTGAGCCGAAGTCACTCTCGGCCATGCAGGGGGCCTATCATGGGTGCTCGCCATTCACCGGATCTGCTTTTTCCCTCAGGAGGAGAAAAAAAAAAGAACTACCAATTAGCAGGACCTTGTCCCGAATTATAACATCTTACACATTTCCTCAAAAGACGCACCACGCGCGGAGGTGCGACCGCAGTCATTTACAGGTGTTTCCTGGTGCTTCGAGGTTTGCCTGCTGGCTCTTAACGGCTGAAATTCGAGCTGCGCACAAACAACTTCGAGTCACTACATTCATTGATGCTCAAAAGGTAGCATTTCGGGCGTTTGATTCATAAAGCTACATGAAAAAGAGGGTGTTTTGGTGTCCCTCGAGGGGAAATAGATTTCTCACCGAACCCCGAATCGGATGAATGGAAAGTGGCTTCACAAAGAGAAAGCTTCATATCAGCTATACTCCTGAATGACAAGGTCGAGCGATTTCAAATCGAATCGTGAGTGTAGACCTAATCAACAAGGCCCTGCTTCTCCAAAAGCTTAAATGCAACATTTGTATTTTCTGATCGGGCAGCCCACAGCTTTCACGGGAGCCCAAATAGTAACAAAGTGCATTTTGCTTTCTTGTGCTTTGTTTGCTTTGTTTCGGCGTGGCTTTGGGCTGGTCCCCCTTTTTCAACGAGACCACATTGGGACCAATGAATTTCACCGTGTATCCATAGACAGCGAACTGGAATCGATCACGTGATTAGTCTCAGCCTTTTTCTGAAGTTGTGTTTTCCCCATACTATTTTTGATTGTCCGTAAACATAAGGCTTGTGATGTGTTTGTCAGGACCTCGTGCGGGCATAATTCTAAGCAATTAAACAAGAGAACAAGTTCACGGGCCCTCAAAAAGACACTGACCCCCCCCCCCCAAATAAATGCAAATTTCGTATGAAAATTATTCAACTCTAATAAAGGCGAAACTGTGGTATACAGACATTGCCAAACCCACTTTAATAACTCCTACACTGAACGCTTGGAAGTGGAACATATTGGGGCGTTGCGGTCAGCCCGTCAATCAAAAGGGGAAACCACAGCTCGGGTATAGCTAAAGAAAACGAGTGGCACATAATGGAATAACCCTGATATAAGCTTTGAAATTCACCGACGCCTGATTCAAATAGTAAGTCCTCGTCTCAAGGAATTCTATTTTCAGCCTCTTTCATACAAAGCGCCAACCAGAAACATTCTGGCACGGTCATACAATCCAACAGGTCGACGAAAATGAGCAGGAAAAATAGTTTGAAAAAGTTAAGTCATGAGAACTTAGGGCTGGTAGCTTTGTTGTTGTTTTTTTTTCAAATAAATCCACATATGGGGGCCTCACGGTGGGCGTTTTCTGAAACTTCAGTTGACTTCCCGTGTTGTTTTCCTCTTGTCCTAACCTTGAATGCAATACAATTGCAACAAATTTCCAAGGGGGGAGAAAAACTCACTGGATGAGGTTCTGAGTGAGGCGGCTTTTGACTTTTTTTTTTTTTTTTTTTTTTTTTTTTTTTTTTTTGAGCGCACTGCTCAGTAGGCTTATTTTGCGGTCCTGTGAGTGAGTGGGGGAGGGAGAATGTGTCCTCCCGGCTGCCAACTCCACACTGGGTGAGATGGAGGGGGAGGCCCGAGACCCCTCAGAGAGTTGAGGGAGTAAGCGGGACATAGATCCCCGTCGCTGCCAACCGTCAACGACGGCGAAAATGGGAAGTTTGCCATGAGGCTGAAAGGCAGTTTGACGCCGCACGTCCAAGTGTTCGCGCTGCTGCGTTTACGTCGGCTCGGTAAATTCTCCGCGGAGGCTTCGTCGCAGGGGTGAGAGGGGGCGGAGGAGGTGGAGGAGGCAGCCCTGGTGACCCTGCTTTGTCTCGATTGCGCCCTGGAAAGCCTGGCTCTCCCCCCCAGCTCTGAAGCCCTGCACTTTTTATTCCTCGTTTCCCCCTCCTCGAGTCGGTCCCGGGTGCTCAGATATCCGTGCGAGCCTTCGGGGCACGCGGCAGCAGCTTGAAGGGCGTCCTCGTCTGATTTCACGTCCACCGGCGGGTCGGCGTTGCCGGAATGTTTCGTGTTGATCGGGGGCACTTTGAAGTTGACGGCATCGGCCTGGCACTGGTATTCATATTCATTGCGACAGTCTTCCGCTTTTAATTTCACTTTGTGGAGAGCAAGGGGCGGTGTCCTGGCGATCTTGCAGCCGCTCTCGGAACGAGGAGACGCCGTCACGGCAAGCTCCTCCGTCTCGGTCTTGATTTTCTTCGGGGGCGTGGGCAGTCTTTGTCCGGTGAATTTCGCCTCTTTGTCCCGGCCACGGGGTTCGCCGATGGGACACGCCGACGTCCTGCGCGGTGCGCAGAGGCCCTTGTTGGCGTGCGGCTCAAAACGGACGCGATCAACCACCGCGTCGGGGATCGGACCCGCCTCGTCACGTCTGTCCTCGGCGAAAATAACCGAGAGGAATTTGGACCCAGAGCTGTTCCTAAATCCGCATTCCTCGTGTCCTCGCTCCGCCTTGCGAGCGGCGGCAACATGGCTCTGCGGCTGCTGGTGGTTGTAGTGAAACGTGGGCTGCAGAACCAGAGGCGCCGTGATAGGGTTAAGAGTTTTGGCGAGGGCCCCCACCCGGGCCCGCCGAAAGCGGATACTCTGAACCGAAACCCGGCTGGAAACGGAGCTGGAGTCCGAATGAGAAGAGCTTTCTTCCTCCTCCTCATCCGTGCTGACCTCGGTCGTCTCGGACTGGGTTTCATCCTCATCTTCCTCTTCTTCCTCGGAGCTGCTGCTGGTGGAGAAGCCGGAGCCGAAGTCCGAGTCGGGATAGGCACGGTCCGAGTAGGTACTGGATTCGGTATCGCTACTCTCCGGGAAGCTGGGTTCGAGGTGATGGCGGTGAAGGTAGAAATCCGGGCTCAGTTGGAAGGCACCAAAAGCCGCGCGGTGCGTAACGGAGGATCTGGGTTGCACGAGCAGCACCGGCGGGACGTGCTGGCGGTGTCTGCTTCTCCAGGGGTGTCTTGGGCCGTCCCTGCCGCCGCCCCCATCGCGCCTCCTCTTCCTTTTGTGATGAAGGTCGCCGGCTGCGCGAGACAGCCGGGACTGAGCAGCCATGGCGGACTGCAGCGCCGCTGCGGGAGCGCTCCGGAAAAACGAATGCTTCTGGCTGAAAGTCACCCGGTTCCCTTGCAACTTGGCGGTTTCATAGTTTTTAAAGTGTCTGCGAGTGGGCTTTGTGGCCGAACGGCAACCTCGTCCGTGGCTTTTGTGGTAAAAATGAGGTAGTTTGGAGTCGCAGGGCTCTCTCCTTCCCCGGCGCGCTTTGTCTTGCACGCCGTGCAAACTGAGCCAAACTTTTTTCTGCCAAAGCTGGGCGTCCGCGTGGAGCAGCCCCGCGGACGCGAGGCCGTCCCCGGCCGAACGCGACGCGGCTTTGCTTTTGCCGTGGCCGGATTTCAACACTCGCTCGGTCTTGCAGGAGAAGTAGAGCGCCTCCACGTCCTCCCGCGATATGAGCGTGCACTTGGCTGCGTGGAAAGCGATGGAGTTGATTGCCTTGAGCTTGCGCAGCTCGCCCAGGTCACAGTGGTGCTTCTTCACGTTCAGGTGGTCCATGCGCTTGTGCACGGTGGTGCGTGGAATGTTCTTGAGCAGCTCGGTGAAGACCTGAGACAAAGCAAACATCTGCTTGCCTTGTATGAGCAGGTAGCCCAGTCTAACTCCTTGCATTTCCTCGAAGCCACACTCGAGGTCTCCCATGTTTTATGGATCAGCTCCAAATGCTCCAATCCCGTCTCTGGATTAATCAAGGCATCCTGCTCATACCTCCGCGCCCAACTTTGACATGCCGGCTGTCAGGTGGAACGAGCCGGCCGCATCCGCTCGGCGCACACACAGTCCGGCATGGCGGGGGAGTGAGACGGATGCATCCGAGGTTGTTGGCTGTTACCTGCCTCTGTCGGCTCCACTCCCCTCCGGTCGGCAGCAGCGCGAGGGGAAGGTGTGCACAACTGCCTCTGCCAGAGGAATAAAACGGCGTGTGGATGGTTGGGTGGGGGGTTCTGTGTGAGGGGAGGGAGAACGAACGAGAGAGCGAGAGAGAGCGAGGGAGAGAGAGAGAGAGAGAGAGAGAGAGAAAGCAGCTAAAATACAGCTGCTGTTGTGGCAGCACAAATATAATGACAGCGAAGGGGAGGTGCGCCAGTCGGGAGACACCTTCATCAATTACTGCTCACGGACTCGATGCCCATTGGGTGCTCTTGACAGGTGATGCAATAAAAATGATATCCCAACCCCACCCATGACCACATCCACTTTACAATCGCCCGCAGCCCGCAGTAAATCACTCATCATCATCGCCAGGATACATTTACAAAGACGAGAGTGAGAGAGACACACGATAAAAAAATATATATATATATATATATATATATATATATATATATATATATATACACACACACACACACACACACACATATATCTCGGCGGTTTATACGTTGGCCCATTGCACAATGTTCCCCTTTGGGTTCCCTTTAAAATACACACATTGAAACGATGACGTGGTAGCAGAGCTGCTTTTCACAATCGCGCTCCGATAAATCCTCCTCATTTCTCATGCCCGTGATGTCCTCAGCATTGACCCACTTATCCTACAATCATGTCTGCATTAACCTAAACTCTGCACCCGTTTTGTTCATTTCAGAAAGAGGGTTTCAAAGCACCCCCAAACCCGGAAAATGCATGTTCTGCGTGTCTGTGTGAGCGTGTGTTCAATGAAATGATTTCCAGGGGCGGATTTCTGAATGAAATTAAACGTTCTCTAAAATCCTAAAATAAGAGTCGTGTGGCTACATTTTTTTCTGTCCAAAAAAAAACAAAAACGATTTGTAATGTTTGTAGCAATATGAACAGTCAAATGTATGCGTGGAATTGGACAGGCGAAAAGTGCAGGCGTGTTTGCTCCTGATGCACAATGGCCTTGAAAATACCTTGACTTGTCAATGAGAGCCTAATGCAAAGGTAGTGTAGTTTAATTCATAAACAAGCATTTCACAGTTGTAATCACAAAAGGCTATCAAAGGCATATACGCTGTGAGTTACATTGAAGCCGGAAGTGGACACCAATCCTTTTCCTTTTCGACGCTCGCCTCTTTGGGGGCCTCCGTTCGGGCGGATCTGTTGTCCCCCTTCATGATGTCCCCGCTTGACGTTGCATCGTTTGTTATGCTCCAAAACACGTGAGTTCCCTGCGGCCGTTGCAGTCCACAAGCACGCAAAGGCGTGCGTGACGGGGCCCGTCCACATGCAGTCGAGAGCGGGCATGCATGAGCTCTTGACAATGTAACAGCCCATTTATTGGTTTACGGTACGTCCGCGTCCTTTATTTAATTCAGTCTCCAAAACCGAATTGACTAACGGAGAAGCTCTCACGATAGGGTGATCCGGGTGGCAGATTTTACCGCGAACCACTAAAACAGGGCAAACTTACTCAGTCGTGGTCGTTTTGGATGCACAAGTTGGATTTCTTACTGTTTCTCTGCTGTGCGTCCTAATATTGGGTCAGACGCGGCGCTCTCTAACGTATCTAACGTCATTTATTCCAAATGATTAGATTTGACACGAAGGTGTAATGTCTGGAGTTTTTCCACAAACGTCTCGAGTGAGATATATGGTATGCATGTCTCCCCAAGTTTTAGCTCGCTCCCCCTAAACTTTAGCCTAAAGGCTCAGAATATGTGAGTCGTGCACGCACGCGTGTGTGCACCGACGTACGAACCGTACGCGGGGCTCGGTCTTGCAAGCGCAGACTGTGTATGACATGCAACATTACCGATCATGCCGATTTGTACGGATGCTGGGAGGAGGAGGAGGAGAATGGGGAGGAGGAAGGGGGTGCTTTCGTTTCCGGGTGCCCCGGGGAATAAGTTGAACCGAGCACGTTGCGCTGAACCAGACTTGGGAGATGAGGGAACCGCATACGTCTGCCTGGTCCTTGCGGGACTATCGCTTTACACAGATTTGTATCGTTTGAATGTTATTTTTTTACGATTAAAGTCACGTATGAAATTAAGTCAAATTAGAGAATGTGTTCACGTAACTGCAGTGGCAGATCCAGCAATATTATTTGCGCTGTGTGTGTGTGTGTGTGTGTGTGTGTGTGTGTGTATGTGTACGCGCGTGTGTGCGTGCGTGTGAGTGTGTGTGTGTGTGTGTGTGTTTAACACAGATTTGAAAGCACCGAGGGTCGAGCTAAAATCGCAGCGCACCTTTTTGCCTTTTTTTGTCTCTTTGCACTAATCGACGTATATAATTTTCTTGCGACAAGTCGCCTTAATTACACGCATTAGCATTTACTCGAAGCTGCAAATATGCAAAAAAGAAAAATATTTAGGGATATATGTGTGTATTTCTATATTTTTAAAGACATAGGAATATAAGCGCCTGTGTTCCTATTTCGAATTCACACTGTTTGAATACAAATCATTACACCCCACTTCCATTAAAGTTTTTTTTTTTTTTTAAATCATCGACATTTCCTACATATGACGGACCACATAAAGTAATTTCCTCGAAAAGCGGGCGCCCTTTGTCATGCAGATTTTAGTGCACCAAATGTCACACGGCATTGCCTCCTTGTCCCTCCGGTGCCTCTCACGGTTGTTGGGAGAACGACTGGCTGAGAACGAGAGCTCATACCCGGAGCACGGTTCAGCGAAGCCCCCGCTGGCTGCTGGAGGAAAACCTCCCAGGTTGCGCTTTGGGACGAATTGAGGTCATTTGTGCTATTTTTTTCTCAAGAATGTTCTTTATTCACAGGTGATTTGAATCATTTTTACAATTCTGATTTTTTTGGTTTCCTTTTTTAATGTCGACTGTTGGTGTATTTCTGCTATAATTTTGGAAAATGTGTAACTCACGACTGAAGTTTCATTTTTATAAGAAGGTGATTCAATTCCGCACCCAGAAGCCGCTCCATTGTGCAGATATCATCTATAAATCCAAACGCATCAGACAGCCAGCCTGCAGTCAGTACACGTTTGTTTTTGGATGGACTAAAATGGAGACTGCCGGTCAAGGAGGTGAGGGCACTTGTAAGAGCATACGACTTTTTATGACACAAAGCCACTGCCCCCCTCCCCTGCCAAAACAATGAATTCCACTCCACCCCCCACCACCCAGGGAGAATGTGATTTTACATGCAATCCGAGCCTGAAGTGTGTGCGGACAGTGGTGGGGGGAGGGCTCCCTTTCACCTTTCACCCCGTCGTGTTGGACCACAAAAAAAAAAAAAAAAAAAGACGCAAAGGTGCATATCGACCGGTCCAATCGTGTTGGGACATAAAATTCATATTCGGAAAATTTGATTTCTCAATCTAAATTGGGATATATTGTACTCATTTCAAGTAATTTAAGGTGAAGACGATGCAGTCACTATTTACGCAAAGTTTACTTTGGAACAATTACTTTGCGTATGGGACACACGAAACGAACCCTAAATGATGCAAAGAAAATAATGCTCAACGACGCTAGTTTCTAGTCCAATAGAACACAACGTTAAGACAGATAAAGGCGCAGTTCTGAACAGATGAAACCAAATATGAAACCGAGAGCACGTGAACGAAAAGAAACGAGTGGTTTGCTGTCTTCATTTTTCACTGGACGATTGGTTTTTCTGATCCTTTAAGCAAACGGCCGTGATTAAACATTGCGCGGTGACATGACATTATAGTCGTTATTAAAACATTGATTTTCAAACAAGCACACGGCATCTGTTTGTGAACACAAGTGCGACAAAATACACGTTCGACTCTCGGCTGTCACTACTCATTTGTTTAGGCTTATGAGGTCAAACTGTGAAAACATTCCTGCTTCTTCAGCTGAGTTCTCGCTGCAAACCACACACACACACACACACACACACACACACACACACACACACACACACACACACACACACACATATATATATATATATTTTGCATTGCATTTTGGAAAATACGTTTCTTCCAAATTCCCAGTTAGCTTTTGGTCTCCATCCACATTCCCTCTTTTGCAACTCTTGACATGTAGCATCTTGGTTATCATGCGTAAATATGTCCAATTTGGAAAGAGGTCAGCACTGCTGGAGGAGCCAGAATTTTGGAAAGAAATATACTCTCTGCAGCCCGAGAAACATTACAGCTGATCCGGGCGGACTTAATCGAGTGCAAATTGTTAAAAAACAAACAAAAAAAAAAAAACAGTATTTGTAATTTTCAGTGTTTTAGTAGTTCCATGGGCACCTCCACAATGACTGCTCCCTCCAATGCCTCCCTTTGTTCTCTCCGCCTAATAGGTTTTCCCCTGCCGTACACAATTCACTTTTTTCCTTTTTCTCCCCCCTTTTCCCTAGCTCCCCATCCCCCCACACCCCTTTTAGTGGAGTGCCCAGTGTCGACTGGAGCATTTGAGCAATTTGAAATTAAAGCAAACAATGGCCAGGCACTCCCAGGGACCTCTCGCTCACCATATTACACGGAGGACGCTCGTGTGCTCTTGCGCATTATTGGCAAGTCATTACGTTTCTCTGGAAACCGAGAGCAGGAGCTCGCTCTGAGGAATCGGTGACGCAAGCAGCAGCTGAGTGCTTGGAATAGCCTACACAATACGTGTATGCGTGTGCGCGTGTGTTCTCGAGCACCGTTGGCAACGGCATAGGGATGCTGTCAAAACAATGTACAATAAACGATACTTACACGTCTGGCATTTTTGTTGATCACTTCATGTTTACGAAGGACCAGATGGAATAATTCTTAGAAGGCTTTCCAAATTTTTCTGGCTTGTATTACGTGCATGTACATTTCTCATTCCTGAAGCAATTCTGCTCAGAATGAAATGCCACATCGTAAAATGCGCACAATATTTGATCTAATTAAAAGGTGAAAAGACAGGCATATCAAATGCATGATGAAGAAATGGATTACAACAAGTAGTAAAATATTCTTTTTAAATGCAAAGCTAAAACATGTAAATTAAGTGTATTCTTACACGTAATAGTAATAACACTAAAGCTCATATTATTCATTTAAGAAATTTAACTGCATGTCTAACAATAATGTTTGGAGACAATCACAACTATTTGAATAAAAATAAATAAATTGTATATACATATATACACACACACACACACACGCACACACACGAGCCTCCTGATTCAAAAGATTGGGATCATTATCCTACATGAAGACAGACATATTTATGAAGCTTGCAGTCGTCATTCTATGAAATAATGATAATAATAATTTGAGCAACTGATCAATCAATTTACTCTGCTTGAGGACAAGCATCAAGAAATTTGATGTATAATATATGATATAAAATATGTGTTGAGAGTTTTGTCATTAGGTTTTAATGATCTACATTTGATCTAATATATTCCTAGTCCACCGTGAAACTAATAAGCAATTAAAGTTCAGCAGAAAATGTAAAACAGTACAGTAATGAAAACATTTTTTAAACAAGTCTCCAGTTTTGTTGTCCCGGTACCAAACAAATCTATTCACATTCTATAATCAAATCCATCCGTTGTGTAACTAGTGTACTATGTATTCTAATACATACATAGTTTGTATTCAAAGTTTAAAATCACTTCAACTATTAAGGTTTAAAATGATAACTTTACATGCACACTTTTCCCCCTCACGTTGCTTTACACAGCAATGTTTTAACAAAGCAAATCAACACTAGATCACAGTGCAAAATGTCCACAGGGAGTAATTCTTTGAATACAAATTATGGCACTAACATGTAGTTAATAGGATAAAATTATTTTTTGTTTGATGTTTATTGAAATGCAGTGGTTCACATGCGCCAACCTATCTTGCACTTCCGGGAAGGCTGCACGTACGCCAACGCGCATTGCGTCATGACGTACTTCCGGTTTCACTTGGAGGAACCCCCCCCCCCGACAACCTCCTGATTGCGTCGCGAAGTGGTTGTTTTGGTTGAAAATATCGCGTCAAGAAAGCACATAAACACGTTTAAAACATGGGAATTCGGACGAGTGGGACCAAATGCAGCGTGGGAGAGGATCGAGGGACGCGTTAAGCGAAGGATTTGACTCGTCTTCCTGTGGTATTGCTCCGCATGTTCAGTTTCTTCGTAGATGGTCTCCGGAGAGCGTTGTCTGCTGGTGGACACAGAGTTGTCGACGAGTAACATGAAGGAGATGATTGGAGGGTGTTGTGTTTGCTCAGACGAGAGAGGCTGGGCGGAGAACCCGCTCGTATACTGCGACGGACACGGCTGCAACGTCGCTGTGCACCAGGGTAAGCTCGTCACTCGCCCCTAAGCTAGTTAGCATTTAGCTTGCAAGCTAGTTAGCCCGGTGCAAGGTTATGGAGGGTCCGGCTGCCAAGGCCAAGCTCGAGGGCACGAAAACGCAACTGCATTCGCTGGGTCGTATTTGTCAAGTGAGCCGCTGTTTTTCAAACACAGCCCGAACGTTCTTTGGTCCTGCATTTCTGCGCCAGGGTTTTGACACGAAGAAGGAAGAAGCGTCAAACTGTCAAAATGTCATCCTTGCCAACCTAGGGTGAGGTAACGTTCACCAACCGTAAAATAATGCCAATACTCGATGTGTTCAGTAAAGGTCTCAATGATACAAATCTGTGATTCTCTGTCTAACTAATGATAAGTGTTGACAATGGCTGTGTTGACAAACGCTGCTGCTCACCATGTGTGTTAGACTCACTTGGTACGAAGAAAACAAAACCCTCCCCACAGGCGTTTACCTCTCTAGAAGGGTTGAACAATTTAGAAAAAAGAATGTCGTATTTTGGGGGGTTCTCGGTATTATTTAGATGCAATTACCTTTTCAGTGTCCTCTTGTCATATACAGTTAACAATTTTAACAGACACAAGCAACAAACGTATCTCCATTCCAAAAAACAATATCAGAGTTACTATACGTAAATGTTTCGGTCCCATAGATTAGGTTAACACTAAAATAAAGGAAGATGAGCTGTGAATTAGCATGAAAGCTGGTCTATTTAAAAACTTCACTTCTAGTTTTTAACTCACCAAACACTTTGTCATGCAGCGCTCCGTGTGACAACTCCACAACATTCCGCCAAACAAGTGTGGCATAAACAAATGTCAGTCAGTCAGAAATCAGATTACAGCAACAATGCAATCAAATCCGTGGCTTTATCACTTTACCTTTTCATGTTTCGGGAAACAATGATATGTAAACGTGGATTCAGGATAGGCGATATGGCTGAGTGTGTCATGATATAAGTACGGTGGTACCTTACAAACTTAATTGGTTCTGTGAGCCTGTTTGTTACTTGAAACGTTCAAAAATCGAGGTACTATTTCCCTTTGAAATGAATGGAATTCAATTAATATAATAACTTCAATAGAGACAGCAGCACCGCCTCCTCGTGGACGTTCAGCACGTAAGTCTCTGAGACGCGTGTGTGGATATCTTGAAAATGGCGTGCCGTTTGTGCGTCCACTGAGCCACAAACGCATGTTCTCGATACATGTGAAAATCGCGCATAGAATTTGTGTGACAGTCGCGGCTGTATCAGTGTGAATGATTTAGTGGCAAGTCTCTCCCCATGTTGGACCGTCAGCCTTTTCCCTCTCTTGACATGTGCAGTCCCTCAGTTGGTCTCCAAACAAGCCTGGTGTTGGCCTACCCTTGATGTCACATTAGCAGAGTACCCCGCACGTTCACTTGAACGCGGTGCTTCTCTCCCATTCACCAGCACCTTTTGTGTGTCACATCCCCCATTGCACAGTGCTTTATGCAAGCTGCAAGGAAAGGAAACGGCGTAACCGAATGTCACGCCAATTAGCCAAATGCAAAGTAGTGACAGTGTCCTATCGGAGCCGGTGTAATGCAGCAGTAGTTTTTGCCATAGCCATGCTTTTTCATGTTTTAATTTCGCCCTAACTTTCTCATCTGATTGTAGAAACAGAAGTAGCGGAATTAAATGTTTTCTATATATTTTTTGGGGTCACTTGACATAGTGGAAGTAGCAACAGTCATTAATGGAGGACAATTATCAAGCGACCAGTTTCAGTGACTTTCCCAGGATGAACATTTATCCAGTTCATGGCAGCAATTAAACTAATTGCCCGCTAAGGGCCTGCCTATGATGAGTACGCATGTAAACTTTGTTACCCTGCTGTAATGAGGAAATGAAACATACTCTAAGAGACTAATGCTGTCAACGTAGCATTCTACTCTGGCAGTTCATTTGTTTTTCAGTTGATGTACTATCAGATGGGCGGTTCCGATCACCGGTCCGCTAATAGAGAGAGGAGAAAACAAACAAACGAGCAAATGTAGTTCTTTATTGCAGAGAGTACTGTATACACACTGCCTTCCATAATTATTGACACCCCTGGTCAAGATGTGTTATTTAGTTTCGAATAAATACATAAATTGTTAGGATCCCCGGTACTATCAGATGGGCGGTTCCGATCACCGGTCCGCTAATAGAGAGAGGAGAAAACAAACAAACGAGCAAATGTAGTTCTTTATTGCAGAGAGTACTGTATACACACTGCCTTCCATAATTATTGACACCCCTGGCCAAGATGTGTTCTTTCAGGTCAGGGTCAGGTCAGGTGTAAATTGTTAGGATCCCCAATGATAATACTCTGCTGACAAAACAGCACCTAAACTTCTGTAATGTTTCACTAGATGGGAGAATACAGAAAGGGGAATCTTCGACCATTCCTCTTTTCACAATCGCTGTAAATCCTCCAGCAACCTGAGTCCTCTTCTCTGCACTCTCCTCTTGAGCGCACTTCGCAGGTTTTCAATGGGGTTGGGGTCTGGAGACTGAGATGGCCATGGGAGGAGCTTGATTCTGGTTCCGTTGAAAAACAATGCATTTATTTGAAGGATTTTAACACGTCTTAACCAGGCATGCCCCCCCCCCCCTCTGTTGCTCATTGTGCTTTGTTTTCATTTCTCTGCAGCCTGTTATGGCATTGTACAGGTGCCCACTGGTCCGTGGTTCTGCAGAAAGTGTGAATCTCAGGAGAGAGCGGCTCGGGTGGTGAGTCTTGCCTTCCACGCTCATTTCTACTTTATTTTTATTTTTTACTACCAATGTTTTTGGGGTGGAAATGCATATTACCCTATTTCAACACATCGCAGTGAATGGGTCGGACAACTATTGTATTGACCATTGCCAGTCATGTGAAACTTTCACATTATCCATAACTTATGACACAGCCATCATGTAGATGGTTGAAGCTTTGATGCTCTACAATGTTGATTGTTCGGCTTTCTGGGGGCTTTCACACTCTGAGTGCTGTTTACGTTATGATTGTGGCAAGAAAGCTCGATTTCAGGTTGAAATGTCAGGTAGCCTGAAACAAATCTGTATTCCTCAAATAACCACGTTTATTTGAAGAACACTTTTTTTCCTTTTTTTGCCATTGTCCTGAACATATTTGAAGCCCCACCCACATCTGGCAGATCCGCTCAGCACCAATTACTGTCAAGTGTCACGCATCTAATTAAATATGCGTGACAGGCATTGATAGAGGATTATGGGCATATAACCGAGGCTCCCTTGTTTCTGCGTCCCATCTGTGGAAGTAGAAGTTTCAACTTAATTTGACCTTGACAAACAATAAAGCCTTCTTCACAATCGCAAGCGTTTGTCAAACATAGACGGACTTCATGTTGATAAAGGTGTTTACAGTTGAATGGATCCAGTTTTGAGACTCGACACAAATACAATGGACCAGCACCACAATCCAGAGTTTGAAGTGCAACATTCACAGCATCACTTAAGACTTCAGAGTACATTTCTTTCACGTGCTTTTATATCATTTGTGCATGCTTAAGTAACACAAAATGTGCACACTTAAGTAACACCAAATTGTCACGATACGAGTGCCGTCGCCACCATGGCTTACTTGGTGCTTCTCGTTGATCCACAGAGATGTGAGCTGTGTCCCCACAAAGATGGCGCCCTGAAGAGGACGGACAATGGCGGTACGCAGCGTCACACGCACACAGCCACGCTCGCAGAGCACACTCTGGCCCTTGTGTCGTTAATTGCATGTCGCCGGCAAGTTAAAGGCGTTTGAGCGTGCTGTGAGAGCTGCTGTTTGGTTAGTCTGTGAGTGTGTGCTGATTTCTCTGCACCTTCCTCTCCAGTCTATCTTTTATGTTTGTGTGTGTGTGTGTGTGTGTGTGTGTGTGTGTGTGTGTGTGTGTGTGTGTGTGTGTGTGTGTGTGTGTGTTTATGAGGGGGTGGGCCAAGTTGGGTATAGTGCATAGCCTGTAAGGAGTCTCCTTGCCGGGTTCACCGGGAGGTCAGTTTGGTTGAGAATGTAAATATTCTGTGTGTGTGTGTGTGTGTGTGTTTTGAATCAGCTAGAGAGAGGCACAGCTGTGGGATTGTGTCCAGGCCTGTTGGGAGGCATCATGACAACACTAACACACACCGTTTTACTACTTTCTCCTTTCTTTTAGCCTTCCCACGACCCTGCTCTTGCTTGTCCTTTTCCTCTCCCCCTCTCCTTCCCTTCCATTTTCATTATCTTGTCCTGTCAGCTCCTCTTCCTCAACTTGTTAAACTATGTACATTTTTGCCACCAGACAAGAAAAGAAAGTTGAACTTTATTGATATGGCGCCGATTTGCGACACACTCTTAACTCATGTCGGCGTTACTCGTTCGTATGTGTTGTGGCGACCCAGCAGAGAAGATGGAGAAATGTGTTTGGAAGGATTTGGGTGGCATCGTTTGCATTCTTAGGGTCCCGTTGAGCGTCGTCTATGCTTCCCAGTACGTTTGCTTTGACCGAAATGACGGCTATGATGGACTCAGGTCAGTGATTGTCACGGTTCTAGCGTTAACCTTCATACCAAGAGCTTTGTTTTGCCATTGCGGCTCAGCTTCCCTTGAATTTCAACCACAACACGAATATGTTGACAAAGGTTCACCGTCCAAACACATTGGACTTCTTGGTTGCACGGCTTCACAATAGGTGTTTTCTGGTGACAATGTGGATCGTTAGCTTGAGGAGCAAGGCCGTGCCACTTTTATAGTCCTGTTTTATAGGCCTCTTCCAGATTCTTGGAGGGACTTCCAAACACCAACATGCCCCATTTCACACCCGCCGCCTTCTCCCTGTCCCGCCCTCTGCCCCGCGCTCCTGTCCTGCCAGCTGGGTCAAAGGCAGGTCAGGGGTTCAACTGTAAGTTTAAGCCTGTTTTTGTTTCCTCTGTGAGGCAAAAGACAGACACCTCCGATGTGGCAGAAGTCTTCCACTTCCATCTGACCACGGGCTCACCTCCTTCTGCCACTCCTCAATTTGTCATCAATTCTGCTGTCAGTGTGTCTTTGCTGACAGGCAGCCGCTGTGCCTGTTAAGTGGCACAATAAAAAGCCTCTTCACTTAATTGCAACTGTATCAATGAAAATGTTCAGTGTTCGAATTCAGTTGACTTATGATTGCCTCGTTCTCACTTGCATGTTTGTTCGGAATGCTCTTTTTGCACTAAATTAAAAGCTACAGTTCAATTATTCACACGGTTCTAAGTATTTTATCGTTGGTTGGCAGAATCTCAATCTTATAAACTTCTCTTTCAACGGCAGAATCGTACTAGGCAATGATGTTGGCAGGAGGACTATTACTTACCCTCATTCAATGCAGTTTCATGTGAAGACATACTTTGACAGATGGCCATAGAAACAAAATCCCTATATATATATATATTTACATATATGTGTGTGTGTGTGTGTATACGCACACACATAAAAAACACAGTGGGGGTTGGGGGGCGGCGAACTTAACAAGTGGCTGCAACAAGTATTGTCATCCATCTTTTCCTCCAAAATATATCCACGCGGCTGGCATGACTCCTAGCCGGAAGCGATGCCAGGCTGAAGAACTGGTATTGGTGTGATGGAATCAGAGCATTTTTCCAAGCATGAGTACAGACAGACAGACAGTATCGTTGCATCATTACTTCAGTCTGCACAATAGTTGCAAGATGACAGACAATTTGCTAGACAAGTTGTGCATTCCATTCTGCCTCAATTGATCCGAGACACTATTAATCTGGAATCAATTCCACACGGTCGACAGCCGTTTGAAGGAAAAAAAAAAATCCCCTCATCGATTCCTATGTTATGCCCATCCCTCATACTAACTAAGCTCAGTGAAACTTCTATTTCGGAGTCAGCGTCAGGCCTCACACAAATGTCAAGATTCTCAGTCTAATTCTTGTTCAAGTTGGTCTTGAGTTGTACTTGACATCACCCGCTACTGAGGCTTTGTGTATTTCACTTGCGACCCAAATAGAGCCAACTCTCTTGGGCGTTCTCTGTTAAGAATTCTATGTACTGAACTGAAAACTCTCTGCAAATGGAATTTGAAGACATGTTGGTGTTGCATATGAGTCACAGGCCAAGGTTTGTTTGTTCATCGACAGTCCATGCAAATTTCCCAGTTTTTGTTGCAAATGACCCTGAACCAACCATGGAAGTGAATGTTTTTGTAGACTGCATATGTGCACTTGAAGCTGGTACCAACTGTCACGTTTTCTCAATGCAAACTGCTTGTGCAAATGACATTGGTCTGTGCCATGACACAGCAATCAACAATTGGTGATTGCGTGAACATTGGTTATGAACCAGTGAAGCATTTTTTTTTCTCCCAAATGTTACAGGCTGGGCCCATGTGGTGTGTGCTCTTTACATACCTGAGGTGGAGTTTGCAAATGTCTCAACTATGGAGCCCATCGTACTCCAGTCTGTGCCCCATGACCGCTACAACAAGGTAACAATCGTGAAGATGTTTGAAGGAGTATGCCTGTTGCACTTGAGTCCAAGTGATTAGATTTTTGAATATCTGCCGATATAATAGATTAACCTCACTACTGTTTGTTGTGAAAGTGCTCTTGAATAAAGTTAGATTAGATCGGGCTGGTGAGCATTCCGGGTGCCAATCTGATACTTGGGCAGTGCACAGAGAAAACAAAGAGAGGGCGTGCGTCCAAATTGTCCCCACACCGGCTGAGCATGTCAGCTCCTTTTTTCTTTTGCTAGCTACCGCACTTCGAAAATTCGGCAATCGGGCCCCAATTTCCAGTCGTGTGATGGGATCGGTACGACCCTTTATGTGTGTTTCTGTGACATGTGTTTGTATAGACATGCTATATCTGCGAGGACCAAGGCAGAGAGAGTAAAGCGGCCACCGGAGCATGCATGACCTGTAACAAACATGGCTGCAGGCAGGCCTTCCATGTCACATGGTGAGATGCCCTCACGTCACATTTACCTCACCGCTCGGAGGAGAGGCACTTTTGAAACTCAAAAGAATTCAGACTTTCAAAATGTATCACCGTCATCCTGGCGCCGCTAATGTGTCTGCCCTGCCACAGTGCCCAGTTTGCAGGGTTGCTGTGTGAGGAACAAGGGTCGGATGCAGACAACGTCAAGTACTGCGGTTATTGCAAATACCACCACAGCAAATTGGTAAGTGGCCATCTCTGTTCGGCACAAATTCCACAAACCAAAAAAAAATAAAACTTGATGTTCGTCACGACAAAGTCCAGGAGGCGAGGCAAGGCAAATGTATTTCGCTTTACTGCAAAGCGGGATCTAAAAATCCAGGTTAATCATAATGGCAAATAGCATTTTTCATGCCATGCATTATTTAGATTAAAATGCTCTCCATTTTGTGTTAGTGGTAGAGTGGCCTGCCTCCGGGGAGCTTGCTTTGCTTGAATTAGCCTGTGTTAGAACACTTTGCTTTACTGTAGACTTTTTTTTTTTTAATCCACTTGAATTAGACCAGCTCGAGCTGAGGTCTGTGTTAAATGTTTCTGTAAGCCTGTTGGTCGTGACGCACAATGTTAGCTCATTCATGACATACAGTCAATACGGTTGGCGTTAGGATGGCTTGCCAGGAAGTGCATTTATTTGGTAAAAAACATCGGGACATTGTTGCTTTCAACCTTCATTCGTTCGTCCAGTCATCCATTCAGTCACTAATTGGTTCGTTCATTCTGATCAAATTCAGTGATCACTCTACTGTCATTCTTCTTTTCTGCTCACCCACCAAGCCTGTTTCACTCCTCTGCCACATTTCCGACTGCCTTTTGTCAGAAGTGTATAACATCCAGCTACATTTTATGGTACATGTCAGCACCAAGGGCACAGGTTAGAAGTTTCTTTTTGCATCTGCTGATTCCTCGGATGCGCCTGTATTTACTGTGTATTGAATTTTGCCCCAATAAGTAGGCTCTCGACCGCTACCTCTGTGACCTCTATTGCTAGTAATTCATTTACCCTTTTCCCGTTTGGCAGAGAATGGCGGCCTTCAAGTAAAGCCTTGAGTAAACAGCAGAGAGTATCAGCCTTAATTTTTTTTTTCCTTTCAAAAATAACACGAACAATACCATGGACATTTTTTGTGTTCCACTCTGCACATAGTCTTCAAACTTCGGTGCAGTTTTAAGCTACCGTGTATGATTACCCCATTCAAGGGAGCGAGTAACCTGACCTGAGCTGGGCATAGTATCGGCACGGGATGAGCAGCCTATGCACTGAATTCCTGCTGCTGCTGTTGAGTCAAGCGCGGATTTTGTGTGTGTGTGTGTGTGTGTGTGTGTGCGTGTGTGTGAGAGTGAGAGAGAGAGAGAGAGAGAGAGAGAGAGAGAGAGAGAGAGAGAGAGAGAGAGAGAGAGAGAGAGAGAGAGAGAGAGAGAGAGAGAGAGAGAGAGAGAGAGAGAGAGAGAGAGAGAGAGAGAGAGAGAGAGAGAGAGAGAGCATCTTGTCAATTGATTAATTGCCCAGCCTTACATCCAAAAACAAATGCAAGATTATAGGAGCAAGAAGGGTCTTCATTGCGCACCATTCCAATCATTTGAATTCATCCCAAATCCATACAATTCATTGGCTGACTCGTGACTGTTATACAACATACTGTTAAAAACATAAGCTATATGTATATATTGCTCTTTAAATAGCCGTGGTAGTATGAAAAGGTCCGACAAGCGTTTTAATGTGAGAGCACAAATGGGAGAACTCATGCTGTCATATTGATTTGTGTAAATGGTTTTGGCTGTCGCTGTAAATGCCGGATTTGTATGGCTCACTCTGCCAGAGGGAATCGGTGGTGAGCAAAGCCGGTTGGGTTTCAGAAAACACCTAGTGAACAATGTTGACAGTGCCTCTCGAGAAAAGAGTCGAATTTTAGCTGAATTTAGACCACGGCTCATTCTAATCACGTCCTAGCAGTTTTTGTTGGCAAAATGGCTCTTTTTTTGTGCAAACTCTATGGGCCATGCCAAGAGAAGTTCTGCGCATCACAATCCTGGTGACGTGCTACCAAAATGCTCAGTAATTTGATGCAACAAAAACAGTTAATCTCAAAACTCTGGTTGCGCGAGTCACGAGGACCAAAGACGAATGTTGTTTTTTTTTTCAAGAAATGTATGTGTCAAGAGTGTAACTAAGACATTGAAAAACACCAAATCATGTTGATCTCAAGGTGTACAACAGCAATCAGAAATAACAATAAAAATACTCCAAACTGAATGCAGTCCTTAACATATGCCTGGAGGTAATATCGCTGCTTGTTCATCACCATGGCAACAGACACTATGAGCAGTATCAAGCAGGCAAGGACTTCCCAAAGTCTCATAGGATACCAAATAAAATTGTACCCTTCAAAGACACTGGGGTGCAGAGTGTTGAGGAATGTTTTGTTGTTGTTTGAATTCCACTGCTAGTTCCTCTGGCCTTCCTGCATATAAATTTGCTTGTCAGCTGTGCGTCATGTTAGTCTGAGCGGGTCATTCACAGGAAATCTGCTCTTTTGCCCCCTGCGCCCCTGTATGTCGAAAGTCTGCTGTATACACACGCACACAATCATAAGTAGCGAGTTTGTGCCTGTCGATGTTACGGCACTTGTCGACCAAAACTTGGTTTTGGCACTCTTAAAATGTTTAGCTTTGCACTTGCAGGAAAAAAAAAGTCATTTCACCACTTTTGCAGCATACACTATTCACATGGAAGTTTTGTGTGACCGTTTTTTAATTTCGACTTTTGTTTTTCAATTTTGACCTGACCTTCTGTCATTTTCTTTTTTCCCCCCTTCACTTTTTTTCTTGAGTTATTCTAGATTCTAGTTAAAGCCTCTTTTCTTTGAACTTCATCCAATAACTTGGAGTTCCTCTTTACCTTTTTAGCGAAGACGCAGGGGCCGCGGTAGTAGATCTCAAAGCTTAAGTGACTCTTCCTCTCAGTGTATGGATAGACCCCCAGACCAGGAAAAGAAGGTAAGAGAGCCTTCAGATCTTACCCTCTCTTCGCCTCCCACCCATAACTGCGACTCCACCAGAAATATGTACTGTCGCTTTTACATGCCCACATTGGGGAGGCACAATCAGCCATGCTAGACCACTACACTGAAGCAGTAGTTCTCAATTTGATTGACATTGGTAGGTTTCTTTTCTACGAGTTTCAAAGAGTTGAACCAACAAGACAAAGGCCAGTTGTTTTTTTTTTTTGGGGGGGGTTATGTATTTATTTACCGGTATTTATTTTGGGGGGGCATCATTGATGAATTGTTTAACAATGTGTTTTTGTGGAACTGATTGTTGATTAACTGCATCTTGAATCTGAGGCAAAATTGATTGCCCAACTTGACTGCCAGCAGCAATGCCGATGTGTCTGTTTCTTCCGTTTGAATCAGTTGGCAGAAGAACAAGGAAAAACATGTCATCAACCATGGGAAGTCGACCAACCACTCAGACCTGCAGTATTATTGTGCTCAAGATGACATTGAAACAGGACTACAGAATTTCACCATCCTTACAAAAATGATTTACTGGTTAATATTCCCCCTCATGGAGAGAGGATATTTAGTCAAATGCCCGTTTTTAGGATCAGTCCTAACATTTGGCATTGTGTTTTATGACAATTTTTGATTATTGTTACAGTTGGATCTGTACAGATCAGTCGTTTCTAAGGGTGCTATAAAAGTTGATTTGAATCAGAAAATCTATTCGATTTGCCTCTGCGAAGAGCACAATTACTTGCACTTTTAACTTTGTTGAGAGGCTATGCTGAGGGCTGATTTAGAGGGGAAAAAAAGCCAGAAAGCGCAACTGAGCGTTTCACGTGGATGCCGTGATTGTTTGCAAAGTGAAGCAAATCCAATTCATATCTTTTCAGAAAATGTTGCTTGATCTGTTTGTGGAACGGGGTGCTCACAAACTGAGGTTCTACTGTTGGGTGTGCCGTTGACTGGCTGCTTGCATGCTTGCTTGTACACGTCTCGTCAATTCTGCTCACCTCATGTGAGACCCTCCAGTCAAACTCCGGCAGGGGCTGAAAGATCCTTCTCACTGGACGCTTCGAAAAGGCCTCCTGGAAACATGTTCAACCCCCCCCACACACACACACACACACACACAAATCCTGCAGGAAGCGGCAGAGGGGGATTCTTGCCAGGCCAGGGCAGATTATACCCCCCATACCCCTCTCACTTCCTGTTCCTCCATTTCACCCTGTCTTCCCTCACCTCTCCAGGCTCACCTCCCTCTCCCCTTTCCTTTTCTTCCTGAAGCATTTGTGCTGAATGGCTACTACCAAACAGGCAGTATATTGTGCCGCTTTATCCTTCCTGTACGACTAACACTGTTGACATTTCGGGCGTTATTCATCACCTGTTTAAATGTTATTACAATGGCATCTTCATTTTGTGACAAAATTAGGCATTGTGAGACATTCATTTTTAGTTTCCTTTTTTTTTTTTGCCCAGCACCATGTCACTATATCTGCTTCATTGACTGAATAATGGTTTGACAAACCCTCAAAAGAAGATTTATACTTTTTTTCCCCCCCATGCTGAGAACATAATGTTCACAGTTCTCGTAATGTCTTAAATGTAAATAAAAGACCAAGTTGTATGGTAACTCATTTAAATGTAATGACAGGGTCTGCCGAGTTGTCGCCGCTGTTTAAAGTTCCACCCACCCAAACGCGCACAAGTTGAGGCTCAAAGATTAGCATTAGCGCAAGGCGGCTCACAGGCCGGTTCCAGTGGAGCTGCTGCCTCCCATTTCGGCCGGTGGGGTCTGTTAACTGCCACTCAGTGCGGAAGTCTGGCTAAACTGTCACCAGCTTTCATGTGATCATTTCCCAACGAGACCCCGAGGGCAGAGGCGTTAGGGGGGTGGGTGGGTGCGTGGAGGGGGTTGGGGGGGTTGCGTCGCTCCTGAGTTGTCACGACACTGAGCCTCACCAATACGTCTCTCAGGACCGATGCATATTTTCACAGCCCGTCTAACTGCCGGCACGTGTGCGCGCACGCTTGTGTGTAAAAGCCTGGATCCGCATCGGTCTGTCCGTATGCGTGTGCAAAGAGGTGTCAGCGTGCGGGATGTTCATGTGAGGTGTAAATGCGCCGGCACCCGGTCACCGCCTCACGGGTGCGAGAGGAGGGCTGGCGGGTGTGCAAAATGGAGAGGGTGTAAATTGAGATGCAGCGGTCCAAGAAGATAGGCTATGATTGGATGAAACAATGAGATCTTGTGCACTTATATGACACACGACTCCAAACTTCAGCAGGCTGAATTCCTGTTGCTCCCAAAGCTTTATTTTCCCCTCATCTCTCTTCCATCACTCTCTTTGTGCCTGTGACGCTTTCATCTTGGAGTGATCCTTTGAAATGTAATGCTTTTTCCGTCACGCACACGCGCGCACATACACACACACACACACTCGCACACGTGCACACATGCACAAGACACGCATGCACGCATTTACTCCACAGCCCTGTTCCGATGATTTAGTCGCTATCTTCTTGGAAATAATCATTCCCAGGAATGGTTACATACATGTTGAGATGTCTACAAATATTTTTTTCCCTTTAGCCTTGCTCATGTGGTATTTCCTTTGTTTTTCCCTTTCCTTTTTTTGCCTTTGTTTATGTACCCTTTAACGCTCAGAAACACAAAGAACGGGACAGACACAAACCCAAACACAAGAAGACCTCCATGGACATGTCCCCCTCCCTTGTTCTCCCAAACATCATGGTCCCAGAGAAGGTGAGGAGCAGCCTTCTGTTTTGTTTAGTGAACTGCTCTTTCGAAATTAAAAAAAAAAAAAAATCTCTCTTGTTTTGGTCATCACTGGGTTGACTTCCCTTGGATGGAGACATGTTTTCACTGTAGTTTGTTAGCTTGCTGAATTACGCTAAAAACAAACAAAACTGCCAAACCAATTTCCATTTTGGTATCTGTCTCGATAAAGGTGTGAATCAAGGAATTGTGGAGAAATTGTTCTCAAATTTCCCAATGAGTAATGCATGGTCTGACCAACAAATTCCCTGCACTTGCAGGAGGCGAAATCCTCATAAGGTGTTTTGTGAGTTTTCAGCGCGTCTTTCCTTGTACCCGCGCTCCCTTTTGCGTTAACACTCGTGATTCCTCTTTCATGTTCTCTTTGCACCTTCTACCTCCAGACCTACACCAGCAGCAATTCGGTGGTAGGGGGCCCCGCTCTCCCAGCAGCCTCGCAGAAGCGGCTGGATGACGGGAGCGCCCGTTTCACCAACGCCAACTTTCAGGAAGTGTCATCCTCTCACTCTCTGGCAAGCGCCAAGGACTGTCTCGCCGCTGATGCCGGGAAGGTGGCATCTGAGATGAAGAGCAAGAAAACTCCCGCTGGAAGCCACGCGGTGGGGCAGAGGGGTAGCCGGAAGTCTCTCACCTCCTCAGGGAAAGCGCTCCCCTCTGCTGTTGTCACCATGGCAACCTCCACATCTGCCTCCACTGGACCTTTCCACCAAGGTAAATTGATAGTTGAAAATATCTCTTTTGAATGTTCATTTTATACACAAAAAAGCCTGCGGTTACCAAGACGGACGAGGTAGAAAAGTGTCGGATCAGATGGCCGTCGACCCACCAAATGTGTTTGTGCTGTGTGACTGGATTCTGACCAGACTCCAGACTTTTTTTTTTTTTGTGTGTGTGGCCTTGATAGCAGTGTTTTGTCTCCGGCCTCTGGCTCCTGTAATCTAGGTATTTGTCTGAGAAAAAAAACACGCGCGCACACGCACACAGACACAGACATTTGGGGAGCCTGAAGGAGTCGGTGCTTTCACTAAGCTCTTGTGTTTTCTATAATCAGAACCTTGAGCTCTCGTCAGGTGTGTGTTTTGTCTATCGAAGGAGGAGCGCAGTGTGGTTGATTTCCCCTTGCGTACTTCCTTTGTGGGAGGACTACATGAAGAAGGGAGTGCTCACTTTAGAGCGGATGGAGATTAATAAAACAAAATAGAATGATTATTTCGATTATCTTGTTTTTCCTGTTCTCACACTAATGGGGAAGAAAAGCACATGAGCCGAGAGATGCTCCTCCCATAATGTACGCTCCCGCTGCCCCCTCCCGAGCTTTCCCTCGATCCTCGATTGGATCTTCACTGCCCATTTCAAAGCGTTCCATATTCAATTGCCTTATCCCATTTCCTCTGCCTTGGCCTTGGTGCACCTGTCTTATCAAGGCCTGCTGTTGACGAGTGCCAGCAAGACAGCCTGTGCCCCCACATCCTCTGATTTCCTAAGCTTCGCCGACTCCTCCTTGCGCCCAGGAAGCGTGACTTCCTTCTCATCGCCGCCATCTTTCAGCTCCCTTGTGAAGCCGAGTTCAGAGGGCGCCGCTTCAGAGGGAACCACAAACCTTTTTGCCTCTCTTGCAACGACCGCTCCTGCAGGTGATAGTTGCACTCTACTTTTGTCTTGTTTTTCAAGTTTTGCATCACCATTATTCTAAGTAAAATTATCCCGGCTGTCAGTAGAAAGATGATATTGCTCAAGTGAAGAGACTATTCATCGGGCATAGGGACTAGGCCAGTATATAATTGACGCCCCCCATATCCCGCACTATAGAACCAAGCTTATTTCCCTGGAGTTTTCGACGAATTATCCCGGCTGTCAGTAGAAAGATGATATTGCTAAAGACTATTCATCGGGCATAGGGACTAGGCCAGTGTATAATTGACGCCCCCCCACTCCCCCCATATCCCGCACTATAGAACCAAACTTATTTCCCTGGAGTTTTCGACTAACGGCCGCAGCCCTCCGGCACCGGCCCGGGGAACACTGGAGCAACCGCGGGAGGTGGGGAGGATGGAGTCAAGAAGAAAAAGAAAGGCAACTGGCGCAACAGATTTGGACCTTGCTTCACAACGGACGTCAAACCACCAGAGTCATCATCACCCTCCCTCGCTTTGCCCACCATCTCCACGGCCAACGCCTCCTCCTCTTCCGCCGCACCCCCCCCTACGTCCTCCTCCTTGACGCTTTCTGGCCGGCCCGGCTTAGCTTGCAGCGGTGGTTTAGGAATGGGAGGAGGCGAAAGAGGTCTCGGGGTCATAGGTGTCGGCAGCGGGATGCAGAAGTCCCCCTCACTCCTTAGGAATGGGAGTCTGCAAAGCAGCAGCGGACCAGGTGAGAGCACAGTAATTTAACCTTGCCTTTTTTCCCCATTTTGACGCGGGCATTTGCACTGAAGGCATTGGAGCCCTAACCATTCAACTGTGAAGCAAGAGTGTTACTAAATTGCTCCTGTGTTGTTACAGTGTCTGACATGTCATCGTCTGTTCACTCCTGGTCTTGTCAAGGTGCTTCGGCAAGACTAATTGGGATAACCTTTCATCGTTATTTTGGTTGGTTTATTGTTACGAGAAAAGAATTTCCATTCTTGAATAGAGGCTCATTAACTCCAGCGTCTTATGTCTTCCCGATTACTGCAATTTTGGTATCGAAGCATCAAAGAGGTATCCTGTACACTTCATTCCAAATTATTATGCGAATAGAATTGAAATGAAACGTTTTGATTGGGCGGCACAGCGGTCAACTCGTTGGCACGGCGACCTCACAGTGCAGAGGTGCGGGGTTGGATTCTCCGCCCTTCCCGTGCGGAGTTTGCATGTTCTCCCCGTACCTGCCTGGGTTTTCATCTGAGTACTCCGGTTTCCTCCCACATTCCCAAAAACTTGAATTGCAGGTTAATGGAACACTCGGAATTGTCTCTAGGTGTGATTGCGAGCGCAGATGGTTGTTCATCTCTGTGTGCCCTGCGATGGGCTGGCAACCGGTTCAGGGTGTCCCCCGGCCGACTGCCCGAAAACAGCTGAGATCGGCTCCGGCACGCCCCGCGACCCTTGTGAGGAGAAGCGGATCAGAAAATGGATGGGTGGACATTTTAATTTGATGGAAAAGTTTTTGCATTAGTTTAGGTCACTGATATCACGGACAGTTGAGAATATTAGTTTCCATTTGCGTTTTGGATTTCCTAGGCAAGTTTTTGCATCTTGTCACTATCAGGCAGAAATCTCCTGTGTCCAAAATGGGTCCATTTCAAATTTATACACAAATCAGTATTATTGGTCATTCTCCACGTGGGTCTGTTATGTTGACAACAAGTCAAGAATAAGGGCTTATTCAACTGTCGATTAAGTTAGTGTAATGAGGGGTTTGGTAACAAGAAAATGCTTCCAACATCTCTTTTATTTATTACATATGAGAATTTTACATTTTGGTCGAGGTTTTAGCAAGCATCATGGAATTTGACATGTTTGCTTTCGCGGGCCACTTGCCGTGTGGCAGGCGAGATCTGGCCCCCGGGCCTTGGGTTTGACCACTCTGGTCTAAAGTGTTGAAAATGGCTTGCTCTCTTTTACAATGCAATGTTCATTGGCTCAACAAACTGTTTTTTTTTTTTTTTATTTCCTGGAAAGTGACGGTTTTGGACATGCAAGGATTCTGCCCAACGCCAGTGTTGTTTCCCCTCTCTGTTTTGAATCACTGTTAGTGAGACAGTTTTCCCAGGTGAGCCTCATTACAGGAAAATTACTTGTGGAGGTTGGTCGACATTATTCAGGAAGTCGCAGTTGTCATTCGTGATGTGCAAAGAGCTCTTTCTGTTCAGAAAAGTGTGAAAAATACTAAATTAAATTTATGCCACATTTCAAATCCCACAGCTGCTTTTCTTTCAGTTACCCAATGGTACTGTGATTGTATTAAGTCATTGCTACATTGTTGTTGCACCTTTCTGTTCTTTAGACCATGATGTCTGGTAATTTGAGCCCATCTTCATGCAATTGGTAATGCTAAATAGAAATGACAACCTTTTTCCATTGGATAGAAAGACATTCATGATTACCTGGACCCATCAACATAAACCCGAGCAACGCTTATACAGCAGACCTTTTGGAATAGACTTCTTGCAATGAAATTTTGCTCTCTGTGTGTGTGTGTGTGTGTGTGTGTGCGCGTGTGTGTGTGTGTGTGTGTGTGTGTGTGTGTAGCTACCCAGCTTTTTTTTTTTCCTTCTTCTTCTTTGTGTTCGGTTGCTTGGCAACTGCTTTGGAGTTCCCCTCTGCTGGAGGAAATGGTTCAGTACAGCTCTCCCATCCCGCATTTCCGCTTTCTTCCAGGATTACCACCTTTTTATTTCTCCCTGCTGTTCTCCCAGCCCTCTGCTCTTACCTTGTTTCTCTGCTTCTCACATCCTTCCTCTTCTGATGACGCTTGCTTGTTTTCCAAAATGATACCGATCTTCTGTATTTGAATCTACCGAGACATGATGTTATTTTGTTGATGTGTCTTGAGTCCTGAGAAAAGAATTGTATTCACCTTAACTCAAGTATTCATGTTTTTGTTTCATATATATTAGTCTCCAATTTGTAATTAATATGTGTGGGGAATTTCCTTTTTATTTTGCTTTGATTTGGACATAAAGTTTCCTGATGTTGACTAAAACTGAAACTATAACAACAATTTGCGGTCCGATGAAAGAATGTCGACATAGCTGCTTAATCCTAAACTCTAAATGTTTTGTGTGGGATATTCGATCCACCTGTATTTTGAATGGGGATAGCCACTACAAAGCCATGTATCATTTCATACATATGTATTACTTTTCCTGTTTCCTCGGTTACATCGCCCAAAAAAAAAAATTATATATATATATATATATATATACACACACACACACACACACACACACACACACACACACACACACACTTTGTGCCAAGACAAAAAGAAATCTGCATTTGTGAAGCTGCACATTTTTCAGAGAAATCAGTTTTTTCCCGCTTAGCAATATATGGAAGGTGTGTTTTTGGATTTCTTTTTGTTTGAATTCCAAGACGAGGCAGGGACACAGGACACACTCATTTATTTCTGCTCTGGTGGTCAAAGGAAAGTTTGCAATTCCCAATGTGTGGCACATTTGTTGCCTTTCCCCGTCGTACGATGCCATTTGTAACCACCGCTGGTGTGGGAAGGTAGGGGAAAGGCGGCTGATATGGCCTTGGCATTGTGTGGGTGCGTGCGTGCGTGTTAATCATGTGTTCGTCTTCACACTGTAAATATTTAGCTGAGGGTTAATGTAGGGCAGTTATGGGGAGAATCCTTCGGTGCCCTCCCTCCCCCATCATGCGGCGTCCTCCCACCATGCTGATGGATAGATAGTTAGCTTGATAGATATGTGCCGGTGGGTGGCGAGAGGCAGGGCTTCGTTTTTGGTTAGGTTAATGTTTGACGGTGGGGGGCAGGGACGGCACTCGGGTGTTTGTGCGTGGTGTGGTGTGGACATGAATTTATTCTGGCCAGTGTGTATGTGTGATGGAGGGAACAAAAGTGGATAGATTTTTTTTTTTTTTTGTATCCCACCCCCCTTTCAACAATTTTGAACATTTTTATTTGTATTATATTTGTTTTAGTTTAGATTATTTTTTTGATGCACAATTTGTGTGCACGTGTTTTCAAAGGGTTATAAATCAGGAAAATATTCTTTGACTTTTTTTTTAATTCAGGTTAAATAACTGAAAAATGTTTCTGTATTTTTAGTAGTTCTGAATTGTTTGAGCCATCTCGGAGTCGACTTGGCAATCACGAATCTTGAGGGTGATTGTGCTTCACATCACGAATAACTAATCACGCAGCCAAAGTTTTTATTTGAACCACTGATCCATAACTTTTAATGCACATGCACAGTTGCATGCGCGCGCACACACACACACACACACACACACACACACACACACACACACACACACACACACACAGCTCTCAATGCACTGAATGAATGAATGGCAAATGAATGTGAATTGCACCATGCTTTTTCTGCATTTCAAAATGATGCCAACAATTTAGTTTGTAATTGAAATTACAATCTAGAAAAGAACCACAACAATTTTTCAAATGAGCAGAAAATTAATTTCACCTCATCTTGCTTTTAAAACGTCACAGATGTTTTGAACAGGAAAAAGGACGGAACTTTAACGCTGGCTCATGCAGGCAAATGCGTGTCAGAGTTCTGTTCTCGTCAGACCTTTTGGGCAAGTTGAATGTCCTGTGGCTGAAAAAAATATTTGTCTTATTTGAGTGTTATGCCATGGGTGCCATTTAGGCCATTTTCCTCGGGCATGTGTGTTCTAATTTCTTGAAATAATTAGAAGACTGATACTTATTCATTTAAAATGTATTCCCATCACCTGAAATTGTAGCAAAAGAGTGCCAGCAATTCAGCTCTTCTACGAGCTCATTTTAAAAATATTATTTGTGTGTGTGTGTGTGTGTGTGTGTGTGTGTGTGTGTGTGTGTGTGTGTGTGTGTGTGAAAACACGAACATAAATATCAGAGATATCCACACACACACAAATTTTTTTTTCTCCAAAAATAATCGTGCCAGCATTCTTAAAAAACAATCCTAAATGTTTAAATGAACCTCGAGCCTGTGATACATTCGTGCACCATGGGCTTTTTCTTGCGCCTCAGTGTGCGTAAGAAGCTTTTCATTGTCGTATAAAACGAATAAATGGCGGCGTTGGTCTCGCATCCAGCTGCTGAACATCTCGCAGGAGCGCATACCCTCTGAGTGACTGCAGCCCAGCTTTTGCTGATCCATTTTTCTGGTGCATATTACAAAGTGTTATAAATAGTATGTAGGCCCGTGCAGTGTATAGATAGCTCCCGCTCCCACCCCCCCATCATCTCCCTTCTCCCCTCCTGGCACAAAGATCTCTTGTTCCCCCAGTGAATGTATGCTGCCCTGAGCCATTCAGGCTTTTGTGGGACTGAGAGGCCCTCTCTTCCCCCCTACCACCACCTCTGCTGGGGTCAAAGGGGGCCGGGGCAGGGCTTATCCCCGGTTAGCGGCTGAGCGCAGGAGCGTGCGCATGCGCGCGTGAGGCAGACTAAGATAAGAGGATGAGGCATACACACACACACACACACACACACACACACACACACACACACACACACACACACGCTGTAATATTGTGTTTAACTTGTTCTATTTTGTGTTCTTTTTTGGGGTGCAGGGTAGGTGAATTTCCTGCACCTTTCAGTCCAAAAAGAAATATTTGTATTTACTTCATCCCTTGTGGTTCATGTTTGAGCTGTTAATTTCAACTCCTTTCAGAACAGCGAAGCTTTGAATGTAATAGAAAACCTTGAAAATTGTTTTGAAATTTATACCGGAGACCTGCCAAGTTGGTGTTTTTGTTTGTTTTGGTTTCGGGGTTTTTTTCTCCTCCCTTTAAGCTTTACTAACCAGAGTGGATATATTTGGGTCCAAATTGTTAGCCGAGCACAGACTGTTGACATTTCCTTAAGCATATATATATTTTTTTCAATTTCACCACTGTTTTGTTTCATTGTGAAATGTAGGAACCCCAAAGTTGTGTGTGTCTTTGTGTGTTTTGTATTTAAACGGTTTATTGTTTAACACCTTCCCCAAATATATATCTGGGAAAAAAGTATTGATCAGCAAAGCACATCCTAGAAGAGCACTGGCACGCTTTGATTGGAGAAACCACGTTAATGTTTTGTGAGCTTTGTTGCTTTTTTTTTTGTATTCTGGCATCCTTATTCAATTATGTGTCTGATCTTAATCTGAAACACGGGTTTTGAACTGACTGTTCACAGGTGTTTTCTCCGGTGGCGATGGGTCGTCTTTGTCGGGCCCTGGTGCTGTCGCCATGGGCGGAGTCAACTCGGACCAACTGCAACCCGCACCTTCGCTGGCCCCTCCCTCTCCCTTCACCGCCACCGCACCCCTGACCGGCACGGCCACCACACACGTGAGTCCGAGCACAAGTGGCGTGCCGATGACACGCAAGCACACTTATCCTTCGGTTTGGCTCTTCCTCGCCCAGAAATTCACACACGCGGTTTATTCAACACCCTCTGTCAGGCCAACATTTTTTACGATGATGTGTAGATTAACTGCGGAAGCACCCAAAAAAAAAAAAACCAAAACAAAACACCACTCACTAATTAAAATAGCTGCACAAATAAATCTCTGCACGGCACGTAAACTATGTGCCAGGCACATGCGTTCTGACCTTGTATGAATTGTCTCTTCTCAGTGAGTTATTCGATGGCTGATCGCACTGGGCATGCGCTGAGGTCTTCAGTTTTATTCACAAATCAGAGATTCCTTTGCCCCTTTTGGTGTTTGCCAGTCTGTTTTGATTACTCGTGTCCTTCAGAGAAAAATCCCGTATTCTGGAAAGTCAAGTGATGCTTTTTTTTTTTTTATTTTAATTTTTAATTTTAATTTTTTAAATCCTGACTAAAGTTAAGGAATGAAACCAATTTTCAGAACAAACATCCTCATGAAGCTCAGTATGTACAATGGGGCCATAGAACCCCCCGCCTCCCCCATTTTGAATTTTGAATATACTTTTCGAATTACTCATCGCTGTCCTTTCAAAAGTGGATGTCTCTCTAAAACTGTTACCTGGGAAAAAAAACCCAACAAAAACAGCCATCGATTTTAGTAATATTGAATTGAATATTGACTCAATATATTCCTCAACTCAGCTGTATTTTTAGAGCACTTTAAAACAACCACCGCTGTATACAAAGTGCTGTACATGGAGCAAATATCATGTATACAATAAACAACAAAACAATAAATGAATAACGAAGACAGTAGACAGCACAAAAATTGTAAAAAAAAAAACAAAAAAAACTAAGATCAAGTCTGAGTCATGCTGAGTCAAAAGCCAAAGAATACAAAAGAGTTTTGAGATGAGTTTTGAAGATGGGCAGCGAGGGGCCTTGCCGAATGGTCAGCGGGAGGTCATTCCAAAGAGTCGGAGCGGCAACGGAAAAGGCTCCATCCCCGCCGAGCCTCCGCTTAGTTCTCGGAACCTCTCTCATAATGTCTGGTCCGCAGACCCGAGGCGCCGGGCAGGTGTGTAGAGGCGGAGGAGCTCAGAGAGGGAAGGGAAGGTGGAGCCAGGCCATTTCAAGATTTCAATACAAATCATTGGATCTTAAAAATAACTTTTTTTTTTTTACATATTGTATATGATACAACTTTTCCAGCTACATAAATGTCATTCTCATCCTAATAAATTTACCTGAAAATATTTTGGTAGCTTTTTTGAAGCACCATTTAACTGCCCTATAAAGAGGGAAAGGGAGTGCTGGGGGATGTGTGTGTGGGGGGGCACTAATCTGTCGTCACTGACCTCAGTGTCCTTCTTTTCAGAATGTCCTCAGAGAGAATTTTCTGTCAGTGTCCACACAACTCCATTTTTCTCCCGTGTCCCCTTACCACCTTTTGCTCTCTGCTGCTTGTTCACACATCCATCCTTTCTCTCCCCCTCCACTTTCTCTTTTACCCCCTCCCAATTCATCCTTCTCTTTCTAACTCTCCCTCTGTTGTCCTGTGATGTAATGACATCTGACAAGCACCACAGTAGGGATAGAGGGGCTGCTCTCAAGTGTGTGTGTGTGTGTGTGTGTGTGTGTGTGTGTGTGTGTGTGTGTGTGTGTGTGTGTGTCCCCGTGTGTCCGTCCGTCTGTGTTTTGGGTCGTTTTGATTTTTCAGGCCTGGCATTTATCTTGGCCAGTACCTCTCTCTGTTCCTACCGAACAGGCCTTGGGAAGCGTAGGAGACATCGGCTATTTGCTGTGCGCATATAGAGGAGTTTCACTGTGGTCGAGAGAGGAAAGTAATTTCATCTGTGCTGTGTGTTGCACATAGAGCATATTTGACAGTAAAGCTTGACTTGACTTGACATTTGGACTGTATAGTGTGTCCATGTTTATAAGTGAGAGAAAGGGAGACCCATCTAAAGAAAGCATGTGATCAACTCCTGCGCATCTGTAACACACACACACATACACACACACACACACACACACACACAAAGTTAACCCAACCAAAGAATTCCGACAGCAGTCGTTCGTGTGTGTTCAAGACAGACTCAGGCCATTTGTTACTTTCAGTCCACTGGGCCGCTCCGGGCTGCCTGTTACTGGCTATCCGCCTAGGACAGAAAAAAAGGAGAGCGCCTTTCGACGAAAAATGGATGTGAATGAAAAATGACTGTGGATGGGAAGCAGGCAGGAATAAGGCACTGGGAAGAGGAGGAGGGGCGGTGAGGAAAAATCAGTGTGAATTTCAGTGCAGGGAAAATGGACAGAGATTGGATTTTTGTCCAGCGTGATTTCTGTGTATGATGTTGAATTAGTAAGAGGAGACAGAGGAGAGTGTAAATGTGAGCAGTTGCGCAGGAAGGACTCCCCCGTAGCACAGCTGTCTGCACCTACGCCCGCCCAACCGTGCCTCTCAAAATCAGATCGTTTCCATGAGTCAACTTCTTAGAGAGGGTGTTTTGTTGACTTGGCCTTGGTAGCATTATGACAACAACAACTCTGACGATCCAATGAGGCGACATCTTCAAAAATAATTCGATGGTGTCATTCACGCGATGGTGTTTTTTTTTTCCCCTCTGTCTGATAGGACCAAAGCAGTCTGGCATTTTGTTCCCTCCCCTCTTATCTTTCTCAGCCCCCTCACTCAAACCCCACCCCTTTGCTCCACGGCCCTTATTTGGGAAATACCTTAATTGGATTAAACTCTATGCATCAGAAACACTTTGTCAGCATGTCAGCGTTGTGTCACTTCTCTGAGGGGCTTTAGGCCTCACGTGTGAAGCAGGACAGAAAGATGCGGCGTTGCGATATTTTCTCGTTTTATCTCTCCCCCTCATGAAAATTTTAGGAAATTTGTGGCCCTCAATCGATATGATCTTTTTTTCTTTCTAATCAAGCAGAATGTTGGGTTTTTTTTTTTTAACCTGAATAAGGGTGTTTAGACTCTATCCACCGTACACTGTATTATCTCAGCACTATGAATGCTCTAATTTAAAAGCTATTGAGAGTAATGGATACTTGTATGAATACACTTAGCTAATTAATGAAAAACTTTCTCAAATAACTATATCCCTTTCAGATTCCACACTTTCATGATATATCATATTTATTTCAACATCCTCTTCATGATTCCTGAAATTAATGATTTATTTTTTAGGGATTCTTTTTTTACTTTGTAGGAATATCGGCAACATTATTTGAATGAAGACTTTGAAGGAGGGAGTTTATGAGCCCCGGTTATTTATTCACAGACGGCCCACATGCGTTAGTTGTACCGAATTTTGATTTGATTTTATTCTAAAAAAAAAGAAAAAGCAATTTCTCTTGCCGTTTCTCTCAGCCAGATAAGTGGGGCTGTGTCTGTATGTGAGGGAGAGTGACGCGCATACTGCAGAACAGACACACAGGAGTGTTGATCGAACAGTCTGCATTGATCAGTGACGCGCTTTAGTTGGCCCGATTAATTTGCCTGCCGATAAATCGGTCCGGCTCGAATGCAGGAATATGTGTAAGTATGTGTTTCTGTGTATGTAAGCTTATCCAAGCTTGTCCATATCCCCAAAAAAAGGGTACTAAAATACACGCGTAGTATAATATTGTTGTTTTTGCCGACAGGGGAATACACCGGCACACCATACAAAATTGAGCAAGGAGGCTGTTTTTTCCCCCGTTTTGATTATTTCTGTGTCTTTTTGTCCTCAGGTGAGTGCCCTTCCAGGGTCAGTTTTCAACATGGCTCCCTCACATATGTTTGGTAACCGTCTGAATCCGAACTCTGCCATGGCAGCGCTCATCGCCCAGTCGGAGGCCTCACCCGCAGGTTTGGAGCTTACCCATGTGACACAATCATGTGTGCGGAGGGTGAGGGGGGGGGGGGATAATGGATTGTCACCACCCCCTTCTCGTGGTCCTGCACAAAGGTCACGGGTCAGCGCTGGTGAAATTTTCAAGCTCCTCCCCACAAGCTCTTGTGGAACCCCCGCCCCCACCTCCTTTCTTCCTTGGGAACTATCAGATGAACATGGAGTGTCTTTTGTCATGTACTAAGTTTGACGCGCTTGCGGTTTCTCCCGAAGAGGTTTCACAGTGAGAAGCCTTTCAAAATGAGAGTAGTTTCTTCCTGAAACCAGAGATGAGAACGATTTCAAGAAGAAGAGAAGACTTTGGACGTCTGATGCCGCCACCATCAGTCAGATCCTTTCTGACCCGCAGGTTAACTCGCTAATCAGGATGAATGACAGGGCCACAAGGATGTTTTGTGCGTGTGGGCGTGGGCTCGGATGTCTGTGCGCGCGCGTGTGCACGTGATGTGCTCGGCTGTGAGAGAGTAATGGCATAGAAAGTCTTAGTGTAATTCTTAAACATGATACACAGATTGGGAGCGAGAGATCGTCTGGCGGGTCGGTGCGGCGGCTGCTGTGATGCGGACTTTGTATCGGTCTTTCGTGGTGAAGAAGTAGCTGAGCCAAAAGGCGAAGCTCTCCATTTACCGGTCAAGCTACGTTCCAACCCTCACCTATGGTCACGAGCTATGGGTCGGGACCGAAAGAACGAGATCCCGGATACAAGCGGCCGAAATGAGTTTTCTCCGCAGGGTGTGCGGGCTCTCCCTTCGAGATAAGGCGAGAAGCTCGGTCATCCGGGAGGGGCTCAGAGTCGAGCACCTTCTCTTCCATGTCGAGAGGAGGCAGATGAGGTGGCTCGGGCATCTCATTGGGATGCCTCCTGGACGCCTCCCCGGTGAGGTGGTCCGGGCATGTCCCACCGGCAGGAGGCCTCGGGGACGACCCAGGACACGTTGGAGAGACCATGTCACCCAGCTGGCCTGGGAACGCCTCATACGATGCCACATTATTACTTTGTATGTGCAGACTTGACTCGGGGAAAATGCCAAACTTCCCCCCGCCTCAAATGTGCACTTTTTCATTGCTTAACATTGCTATTCAAAATGATTGCGGGATGTGGATGTGAAGGGCCCCACCAATGGCTTTTCCATGTGCCCCTAAATGCCGATCACACCCCTGGTGTTTTTCATGTAAATACACGTGGCGCATCTCATCTCCCCAATATGTACCGCTCAGGGCTTCAGATGCGCGCACAAAGTATGGAAAAGAAATGTGTGAACGATAACAACAGGATTTCATAGACAAGCAAATTGATTGGAATTGAAAGAGTGGGGGATATGGAAGAAAACCAAAGAATCATGATTAAATGGCAGTCGTTTGAAGTATTCAGGGTACACATTATTTCCACTTTAGGAAATTGCATGCCTCCGGTACGGTATACATACGGGCTTTTCTTCCCGTCGTATGTTTGCAAACAGGCGTGCGCACGCGGGTGGAAGTTGCGCCCGTTTACTTTGGCAGCCGACTCTCGTTGCCTTTTGTGTGCGCGGTGGGAGGCGCCAGGATGCAAAGGGTTACGAAGGGAACGCACATTTGCTCTCAAGTCAAGGCGAGGACTATGGCGCTGACCCAGTCGGCTAAATGCTTAGATTGACTGTCTTAAGTAGGGGGGAGTTGAGCGCTAGCATGTAAATGCAAAAGTGTCTGCGTGCGCATGTGTGATTCATTACTCTCTCTGAGAGAAATGAAAGGAAGCGTCTGGCCAGCGGCCCAGAGGAAGGCGGACAGAGAAGAGAGCGAGCGGGCAAGGCCCACTGGACAGAAAGAGAAAGAGAGAGCTTTTGAATGAAGTGGCGTGTGTGTGTGTGTGTGTGTGTGTGTGTGTGTGTGAGTGAGTGAGTGAGTGAGTGAGATGGTTACCAAGCAAATTCAAGTTTTGCTCTATGCCGCTGGATGAGGACGTCACCCCACTGCGCTCCCTCTGCCGACATTTGTGCAGAGTCCAAGCAAATTCTCACCCTGTTTTAATTGAGAGTTGCATCGACGCAATGAAGTGAAAATGGAACGCAAACCCACAAGTTTCCTCTGCTCATCAAGTCAAAGGAGACAACCTTTTTGTTCAATTGATCGCAATTTCTGGCTTGGCTTCAATCACTGGTATTAATTACAAACCATTTGGAGCGTTTGGCTTTGGCTTTCTTCTGTTGTCTTGACAACGGGAAGGCAAAAAAGCCGCATCTCTCATCAACTAGTGCCGACTCTACAAGGCGGGCGGGTCGTACGTGTGCCCGGATGTTTGTTTTCGTCCATGTTTTTGTTGCCCCCAAAAAATGAGTTTTAACACTTTTTGTCCAAAGTGTGCATCCAGATTTTTAATGGAAAACATGTTGTGTGCGTGTGCTTGCATAGATCAGGAAGCCGGAGACACCGGCGTCGGTGTGCAGGGCTTCTCAATCAGGGCTTCTCCCAAGACCACGCCGCGGTGAGTGCACGCACACACTCACAGATGCTCTCCCTCCCTCCATCCCCATTTACATTCCAAACTGACCCCCCACCCGCCCCCATGCATCCCCCGCTCTGCTTTTCCCTCTGCTGGCCCCCCATCTCATCTTTCTTCCACTCACGCCACACACACACACACACACGCCACACACACACACACACACACACACGCACACACTCCCCTATTTAGTGCCTACAGGCAGTTCTCGCTCTGTCAGCCAACGATAACCTGTGTTTTTGAAGGTGGTAACCATCCTTCTACTGCAATTGTATTTTTCTTGTTTTATTCACACAAGGAAAAAAATTTGTTTTCACCTAATGCTTGCTTTCGGGGCACTGTTTGACATCTTCGGTCAAGGTAGGAATGCTAATGACAGAAATCCTTTGGGTTTTTTTGTTTGTTTTCTGTGGGATGGATGATTTCGCTTGAGAAGGTTGGTGGAGACAATGTCATTTTAGTATTTCACAACCAAAACATTTTGTTTTACCCGTATATAATAGTAATGTAATTCTTGATGATGGTGATGATTGATTATTATGGTTTGGCAATTTCAAATGAAACTTGAGAATTGTAACATTTATTTTTTTGCACGTGAATGTAATTGTAGCTTTTTTTCACTCATTTGTGTGCGTGTGCGTGTGCGTGTGTGTGTGTGCGTGTGCGTGTGTGTGTGTGTGTGTGTGAGGAGTGATACAGAAGTGGAAAACACCCTTCTTAAAAATTTATCCAGAGATTGTGAACACACAAACACACTGTGATCTTCAATTTATCAACGTTGTCCACTTCCATCTTTGATTTTGCACGTGCTCTTTCTCTTACTCTGTCTCTCTCACCTCACACACGCACACACAGACACAGTCTGGCCCCTGTTCATTAGAGGCCACTGTAACAACAAATTGATGTAGTTTTATAGCCAGCAGTGTCCATGTTTGTCTGACATTTATGTTTGGTCGTTAATCTGCCTATTGACCTCTCTATCGCCCCTTTTCTGTCTGTGCTCGCATTCTCTGGCTCTCCTTTTATTCAGCTCGCCAATTGGCGGCCTGCAGATCCGCTACGACTCGTCAGGGTCGTTGCCGGGACCAGGGCTCGGGTTGCTAGGGGCTGGGGGGGGCGGCGGCAGCGGCGAGACGCTGCCCCCGGTGGCCACCACCATAGAGCAGCTCCTGGAGAGGCAGTGGAACGAGGGGCAGAATTTCCTACTGCAGCAGGGCGCGCAGGGCGATGGTGAGAGACAACACGCCATTTCCGCGGACATCCTTTGGGGGAAGGAGAGAGGCCGACCTTGATCTGGCCCCCTCAGGTTGAAGTTCTTGTGTTTGGCAAGTCCCGCTCCTGCGTCAGGCGGCCCTTCTTGGCCTCTGACCTCCCTCTCTATATACCAAATCGGTCAGTGGCGAGTGAGAACGGGCCGTATGAAGTCTGTGCAGTGTAGCATTACCGTCTTGTCGCCGGTGCCGATTTTAAGGACCTCTGCCACAACGCGCACAAATGTCAACTCAAATGCGGTCTGTTGTCTCTCTGTTTGTCAGTGGTGGGCATGCTGAAGTCTCTCCATCAGCTGCAGGAGGAGAACAGGAGGCTGGAAGAGCAGATAAAAACGCTCACTATGAAGAGAGAGCGACTGCAGCTTCTCAGTGCTCAGCTATCAGTGCCTTTCATGCCCACCTCAGCCTCCTCTGGTACACGCGCGCGCATGCACCCACTGATAAGTCAGGATTTATGACAAATGTACAGACCACTGCTTCTCTGCTTTTATTTACGTACCGTGATCACATTTTGTTGTAGATGTAAAGGGGGCGGCCTCTGACTCATCGTTACCTGTGGCAGCTCAGGTAAATCGCTGTTGGAATGAAAATGGCATCAACTTCCTCTTGTTTACTATGTCGAGGGCGTGTGTGTGTGTGTGTGTGTGTGTGTGTGTGTGTGGGGGGGGGGGGGGCCACCAAC